ACTCAAAATTATTCATAAAGTTTAAAGCAATATAATGACAAACATTAGAAACCATAGCAACGCTACTCAGATACTCAGATGTTTTGGTCAGTTGTTGTATACAGGGTAGCACAGAAAAGTTATGATAAGTTAATAACCGAAATCGTGTTACAAGTGGCGCCCTTTAGAAGTTTGGACATAAAAAATAACGGATTCTTGTTTTCATACTAGAAAACCTCCGTTTACCGAGTTTTATGCCAAGATCTGAAATACTTCTCAGGCAATAAAGAAAAATAGAAAATAAAATTGTAACTTTGACACCCTGTATCTCGCAAGCTATCAACTTTTGGACTGAGGTATGTTTAGGTCAATTCACATATTTTGGTCTGTAATATCTCCAGTTTCGAGATTTCGACACCCATACTTGTCATATTCCCACAGTAAATAATATGTGACATCACACACTCAAATAGTCGCCGTGTAAGAAGGGTTTTGACAACATTGTCACATTTGCGAGCTATAAGTTTTCTGAGATTTGTTGGCGAGAAAAAGTTGTGAAAAGATGGAAGTTGACCCAGGAGGATCAACAGACGACGCAGTTCCACATACTATGAGGAAAGAGCTGAGCGGTGGCGGAAACCAAGCAGAAGCAGAAAACATGAGCTCACTGACGCATAAAATAATCGAAAAACTGATGCTGATTATAGACGACTAGGCGAGGCGAGGCGAGACCTAACGGAGACCATCAAGGACCAGACAGCCAAAATTGACAGCCTGACCGCCCAGATAACAATATTACTAAATTCAAAAGAATCCACTAAAGAACGGACAAAGACCCTAAAAAGACCACTGAGAAGCGTTACTGATGATCATCTCACATCCACAGACGAAGACATACAGACCGAAGGATTTGTAAAAGCAAAATCAAGAAGGAGGAAAGGCGACAAGGCTGATCATTCAACCCAACACTTTCCTCCTCTTCCGAATACAGGATCATTTGCATTTCACACCTCCCCCAATTCATCAAATCGAAACACTATTAATGCTTCTACTACCAAGCCAGGGACCACGTTATCTACCTGTCAGATGACTCCGTCAGCCGATGTTACTTCTCCTCCGTCATCTCGTCCAACCGTCGTGGCATCAACACAACCCTCATGACAAGGGCGCATAACCCCGATCGTCTTATGCGACGGGACGAGATGGCGTACTTTAAATTCCAAGTTTATTTCCCTAGATATTAAAATAGATCGCGCGGTTGCCGTCAATGCGGGAATAAAGATTATTCCTAAATCCGAGGACGACTACCGTAAGATCGTTCGCCTATTCCGAGAGGAAGAAGTGCCCCATCACACTTTTCCTCTCTCTTCGGAACGGAACATCCATGCGGTGGTTCGAAGAGTTCCCGTCAACTTTTCGGATACTGAGATTAAGGGAGAACTGGAGCAGAGGGGATAAAGCCCTCTTCACATCATTCGATTGAAGCGCAGCGGCGGCGCGCCCATGCCTTTGGTGGTCGTGATACTGCCCAAGACTGAAAAGTCTCAGCATGTGTTCAGCGAATACGAACTGCTGGGACTGGCCATTCGAGTTGGGGTTCAGAAAAACTCCAGACTCATTGGGCAGTGTCACCGCTGCCAAAAGTATGTGCATGCGCAGTCATATTGCACTGCACCGCCCAAATGCTTAAAATGTGCAAAGGACCACATGACGCATTTGTGCCCCCTCACAGAACAGGAAGAACGCAAGTGCGCGAACTGTGGAGAGGGACATCCCGCAAATAGCTGGACTTGCAAGTTCCTCCTTGGAGTGAACTTATAGTAGTATAGAGTTATAGCACAAAGGCGCAATATATCATACGCGGACGCAGCTCGGGATGAAACCTCCCTTGAGCACGCAAAATGTGGACCTGGCAACCGCGCTAAGGTCCTTACAACAAATAATAAGCCCACTGATTAGCGCTACCAAGCGTTGCAGGCGATATTTCCTGTAAATGTCTAGGTACAATAGTAGACAGCCTGCATGCATCAAAATTCTTTTTTAGAATTGTTTGGGCATGAGGGATATTCCCAAAAAACGGGAATTTCATCAATCTGTTTTGGATGAAGGTATAGATGTGGCCTTGCTGCAGGAAACGTTGCTTAATCCGGGAGATCGTTTAGCTCTCCCGAATTGTGATGTTATCCGAGGTGGCAGATTGAATGATCGAGGCGGCGGTTTAGCAGTGTTGATTAAGCGCGGTATAGACTATTATAGAAGCACTAATGCGGAGATGCATAGCATCGAAGCAGCTTCTGTGGTGGTCAATATGGCCGGAGGTGTCTCGTTGAAGATCACATCGATGTATGTGTGGTGCCAGGCTACAAGAGGCGAATCTGGAGGTCCTTTTGGACTACTCGGGTCCGCTTATTGTGGCAGGGGACTTCAACTGCAAACATCGAGCATGGAATTCTAGGTTGAATTCCACTAGTGGGGTTCGATTTTACAGCCATGTGATGCGAAATGGGTACCTTATACATAGCACTGAAGAGCCGACACATCATCCATTCAACCATCTTCAGGCACCAGATGTCATCGATTTCGCGATATCTAAAAACTGTAGATACAGTATTCTCTTCACGAATCTTGTATGATATCTCTAGTGACCATCTACCTGTTGTCTTGGATGTGGGCAATGAGCAAACTTCTGAGGAGGCAGCTCCTCCAAGTAAACGCATTGATTGGGACCTATACAAGTTGCTCCTTAGAGGGTTTCCCAATATCCCGATTATAGATGATGAGTCTGGAATAGATGCCGCTCAAGCGGAGTGGACAAGTTTCATTCAAGCAGCTCTACAGCGTGCAGCTGTATTTCCTGTACAACGACACGGCAGACCTTTTTTGCCTGCGGACATTCGTCAGAAAATCTCTGACAAAAGAGCCGCTATTAAGCAGGCAAAAAGGTCTTGTCATCCTGATGACATTCGTAGGGCTACAAATCTTGTCCATGAAGTGAGAAACGAACTGCACGAACTCCGCAACGAGCAATGGAGCGACTTTCTGGCGGGAATGCTTGATTCAAGTATTCCTCTCTGGAGGGTCGCAAAGTCACTCAGAAACGGAAAGCGAGAACAACTCCCACACATCCACGGTCCTGGAGGCATAGTCTTCAGAACGGAGGATAAGGTCGAGGTTTTCGCTGATGCCATGGAAAAACAGTTCTCTCCAACTATGATCTCGATAATGACCTCGACGAGAAACAGCACATCCTACGATCCGTCAGGAGATATTTTAGGGCCAACGGCCTTAGCGGAGGCACTAAATCCTCTTCAGATGACTCTTCTTCAGAAGATTCGTCTGAGGCTCCACATAGCACATTAGCGGAACCCTCCGAGTTTCGACATTGCACACCAGCGGAGCTCCTAAGTCATATTAAAGACCTCAAGGTGCGTAAAGCACCTGGGGAGGATCAAATCATCAACAAGGCGTTGAAGCTGCTCTCGCCGAAAGCCCTGACATACTTGGTGACAATAATCAATGCGACGCTCAAAATCCAGTACTTCCCTGCTGGGTGGAAGACTGCTGAGGTCATCATAATTCCAAAGAAGGTGGGTTCGATATTTCCTCAGGATTACCGTCCCATAAGTCTGCTGTCAGCTCCTTCTAAGCTCGCCGAAAGGGTGATTTATCGTCACCTTGAGAACTTTTCGTCAAATCACCATGTGATTCCTGACGTCCAATTCTGTTTTCGGTCTGAGCATAGCACCGAGCTACAGGCAGTCAGGCTGATGGAGCACGTAACCGTAGGGTTCACCCTCAGCATGAGTAATGGCATCTTGCTTTTGGATGTCTCAAAAGCCTTTGACTAGGTGTGGCACGCGGGCCTCCTCTATAAACTAATCCAAAATTGTTTTCCTTTTTGGCTTCTAAAATTACTGAAATCCTTTCTTGAAGGAAGGAAGTTTTGGATCAAAATTAACAATTTTTTGTCAACAACACGACAGTACGGCCTCAGGGTTCGGTCCTAGGACCAATTCTTTATTCGCTTTTCGTCCATGATGTCCCTTCCCCCAGCAACTGTGAAGTCTACCTCTATGCTGACGACACTGCACTTGTCGCCCAGTCATGTTCTGGTGATGGGTTGCAGAATGCGGTGGACGAAGTTCTAGAGTGGGCGGAACGGTGGCTGATAAAAATTAATCATTCGAAAACGCAGGCTATTTATTGTACCAAAAAACGTCGCGGCCCCCCAGCAGAGGTTTCTGTAGACGGAAATCGTGTACCATGGACAAATTCTGCCAAGTATCTCGGTGTCACCCTTGATAAAGGCATGACCTGGCAGAAACATACAGCATCCATAAAAACAAAATTCCAAATTGCGTTTCGGCAACTATATCCTTTGTTATGTAGATCCTCCAAATTGAGTTTGATAAACAAAGTTCGACTATATAAAATGATTATTAGACCAGCCATTACTTATGCATGTGCGGCTTGGTGTTTTCTTGCCAAGACACACATGCAAAGTCTTCAAGTACTACAAAGCAGAACTTTGCGGTCAATTTGCAACGCTCCATGGTATGTCTCAAATGAGACACTACACAGAGACCGTGACATTCCTTACTTAAGGGATTATGTCAAGCTTCAGGCGCAGCGACGTTAATCAAAAGTTAGCTTGAATCTTTAGTAAACTCAAAACTACACTCTAAGATAATCGAATCAAAAAATTTGTTTAGTTCACTTCAAAATTAATCCGTGTACCAAGTCAAGAAGCCTAGGTGTTTCCTCTTAAACTAAGCATATCTGTTTTTCTTTGTTCTTCTCCTTTTTTCTTCTCTTTCCCTTTCTCTTTTTCCTTGACTTTATCTGGTTTCTGGGCAACCAGGACTGACAGATTCGACTAACGTACATCAGACAGTGACTATGATCCTACGGACCGCCCAGACAAACAAATGACGAATAGTATGACACACTAAAAGTTTTTGATATGACTTTTTTGTCCCATTGTCATTGGTATCTATTGTAGGGTATGTGAAAGGATGACATGAAATATAACCGTTTTTATTGGTGATGGTACAAGAAAGAAGTAAGTACAATCAGATCATTCCATAGCTGAAATAAGCTAGCCACCACTTACTTCAAGCTCACCAACAAAACATGCTATATTCTCTTCTTCTGGATTGAATATTGACAGATGAACCTTGAATGTTCCCATCAACATGGAGGGAACGTCAAAGTCCTCAGGACTACAGGTAAAGTTATCCAAGGTGTATTCATCCTAAAAAGTAAAAGTTACAGTATATCACATAAGGCAAGCATCATACTAGAGGATAAGGATGGAATCACTGACTTAGTAGCTACTACTTACTATTATTGACAGCGAGTCAGTATTACCTGTTCCTAGTTTTACCAAATCACTGACCGAGTCAGTGGTGCAATTTACTCGTATACTAAATTACACTGACTATGACGCCTGAGGTTTATAGTAAAGGGTGTCTCAACAAGAGCGCTGGATTTGAATTTGTTGCCATTTTTTTTGTACACATGGTGTAGTGTTTACTTGATGACAGCTGTCATGTCCAGACCACGTGATTAGACGTCATGGAACACTATTCAAACGTTTAGCAACGTTTAACTATTGTGAAAACTCACTATAAAAAAAAATGGAGAAAATTACGCGGAAACAAATCGCAAACTACGTATAATTTTCGGTCGCAATAATGCGCCAAATGAGTTGACAGTTCGCCGTTTAATTACAAAATTTGAGACAAAATTTACTTTGCTTAGTGTGAAGACCACTGTTCGTCGCCGTCCTGATTGGTCCCTCGGAAATATTGTCACAGAGCGGGAAAGAGTGGCCAAGAATCCATGCACCTCATTTCTACAACGTGGCCAAGGCCCAAGACTAATTTTGACAAAAGATCTGTGCTTGCATGCGTACAAGGCTCAACTAACGCGAGAACTCAAGCCAACGGACCATGCGCAGCACCGTGAATTCGTTGAATGGGCGCTGGAGCACCACCAAACTGATGCGGATTTCTCGAAGTAAATCATTTTCTCCAATGAGGCACATTTTCAACAAATTTGCCACCAGGATTGTGCGATTTAACGCCAATGGCGGCTATGTGAAGGAAAAGGTATATGCGAACAAGCCACAAGCAGTCGAACGCCTTGAAGAAGAGATGCGGCGCATTATCGATGAAATAGAGCAACAGTTGTGCGAAAACGTTATCCAGAATTTTAAAATAAGACTGATCCTGTGCTAGAGATTTCCTGGTGCCAATTTGTCGGATGTCCTATTTCATGTTTAATTGCAACTATTCCTCTTCATATTGAAATATAAATACCCGCTTAATTCTAACAGAAATTGTATTTTTCTTGAGAATCAAATCCGGCACTCTTATTGAGACAACCTTTATAAGTGATTACGTAAAATATGTGGAAGTCAAAAACACGCTTCTTGTTAACATTGCAAGGAAGGTTAAAAATAGCTTTGAAATAATTTAATCCTGAGATACTCTTCAGGATCTGGTTGGGGAATGTTTGAGCTTGATTTCAGATACAAAAACCTCAGAAATAAACATTTTTTTTTACTTTTCGCGTCTGCTGACGAGGTAGTATTGTAATCGCGAAAAATTAAGTAAGTAAGGGTGAGTTTGTCTCAATTGATTAGCGTAGTATCAAGTAACCAAATAAGTTCGTGCGGTTGCTGTATATCGCACATTGCCATGGATGTTGTTGATCGATAGCGATTGTTTGTTACTTGTTGTCACTTTAGTACGAATCCTTCTTTTCTCACTCATATCAAAAGTTGCTGAAAATTGTTATATACCTTGGTACAAAAGCTGCAGCGATGGCGCGAAAAATATGTACCGCATTCGGAGATGATGCCGTTAGTGATCGAACAGCACTGAAGTGGTTCAAAAAATTTTCTCGGGAGATCTCAATTTGAGCGATGAATTGCGCTCAGGGAGACCAAAAATCATTAACAACGAGGATCTTCGACAGGTTGTGGATGCAAATTTTAGGACAACGTGCCAAGAACTTGCAGAAATGTTCAGAGTGAGTCCTGAAACTATTCGTTTGCATCTTCATCAGCTAGGAAAGACGTGCAACTTAAGCAAATGGGTCTCACATGAACTGACAAATGATAACAAATTAAGTCGTCTTACCATTTGTTCAGCAAACATCTCACGCAACGCTAATGAACCATTTCTTAATCGGTTATTAACCTGCGACGTAAAATGGATCGTGTATTCGAATTCTAAGCGTCCGTATCATTGGTTGTCGCCTACTGATTCGGTACCACACACGCCCAAGGCTTCCTTGTACACAAACAAGGTTTTGTTGTGTGTGGTGGAAAGCAACTTGAATTGTCCATTATGAGTTTTTGGAAAGCGGTCAAACCATCACTGCTAACTTGTATTGGGAGCAGCTTCAACCAGTACAAGCAGCACTCATCTAGAAACAGCCTTCTTTGATCAATCGGAAGAAAGTGATATTCTTGCAGGATAACGCCAAGTCTCATATCTACCGCAAAAGTTTTTTTGTCTCTTGACAATTGTATAAGGCAACGACAGTTCACAACTCGAGATGGTGTAATAAATGCAGTCCGCCAATTTTTGGACCCCAAATCCAGGGAGCTCTACAATACCGGCATACAAAAGTTAATGTAATTATATACTTCGACGAATAAATAATGTCTTATTGTTTCTCAATGAAAATATATATTTTTCTAATAAAAAACGCACGAACTTATTTGGTTATATATTCATACGTTTCCAACCCAGTGATTTTACCCACCTATTACGGGTAGGCATGTTTAACATGTCATTCATATCCCATTAAAACTGTTCAAGGGGAGGGGATTGTAGAAGTGTGTGAACATGAACGAAATCACGCGTTCATTCATATGCAAATTGAATTGAGATGTTCGTAGCTAATTAGCCTTACATAAAATCATTTATAAAGTGATGGCATCGTGGCGCGAGAAGCTCAGACTCAACCTGCTTGACATATTATTATTTTTCGACTATTCAAGCATTACAGATCTTCATCTTTAGGTTTTTCAGACAATAAATCGCGTATAACACGAAAACTTTAAAGAACAGTTACTGAGGATCTTTTTTGTTCAAAATAATCAGAACTATCTAAGAAAACTGCCCTGAGCGAAGTAACCACCCTCCTAGATACATGCTGAAATTAGATAAAATACCTTGCCATTCAATGCCTTTTCCGTTCTGGACATTTTTTTATATTTTTTAGATCATCCTAAACAAAAACGGTTCTTCGTAAAGTTGACTGTTTTTCAGCTGTAAGCGATTCGTTGTCTGAAACTCCCTCAAAATGGGCATTCAGATTGATTGAAAACTTGACTAAAAAGTATTATTTTTGAGGTTGTCAGATGTCTAAATTGAAGCTCAAAACTACCCTTATACGATCCTAAAGAATATTTTGTGCTTAATCAACTTTAAAGCACTTTTCAACCTTGCTTGGTAGGCTAACAAGGGACAAACTTTTGATCTTAGCAGTCATATACGCAGTAGTTTTAACTACAGTACAAAACTTACGGCCTTGTAGTTGCACTCTTCGGGTAGTTGTGGAGACATGGTTGTCCTGAAATTTGTGAAAAACTTGTTGGCATATTTCTTCATCATTTCACAAAATGGTCCGCCTGTGCTATAGATGTTCTCCTCCCAAGCACCATTCTCCCATTTATCAGCAACCATTTTTACCTATACTTGAACATACCAATGGAATATAATAGTTATTTATAAACCTACGGAGTTAAGTGGGTGAGTATGGCCCTGGATCCGAAATTAGTAGTAGTAGTAGTAGAAGTCGGGGAGAAAAACGGGAAGGAGACGGAAAGTTAGGAAGGAGGGAGAGCAATGAGAAAGAAGTGCGTCAATTTGAAGGATGCCTTGGCATTATTAACTACTATTCTGGAGCTTTATATTAATCCTAAATTTAATTTAGAGATTGGTTGTTGAAGAAAATGTATAATTTTCCTTGGACTCAAAGTCGCACGATTTGATTTTGTGTGTGTGTGTGTGTGTGTGTGTGTGGTTGCAAACTTGTTCGACTGTGTAGTCTCCTGATTCGAGCCACAGATGAGTGTTATGCGATTCCGCTTGACTAACGTAGCTGCGCCTGTTGTTTTATGTAGTCGCTTAGATAAGGGATGTCGAGGTATCTGCGAAGGGTCTCATTAGAGATATACCATGGGGTGTTAGTGATAACAAAACCTGCAGACTATGCTAATGCGTTTTAGCTAGAAAACACCAAGCCACACTTTCATAAGTGATCCCCAAACATAATTTTGACGTTCTACATACCGTAAGGTAGAGTTGCCGAAACGTAATTTAGAATTTAGTTTTTAACGCTTCAGTGTGATTCTGCCAGGTCATCCTCTTGTCAAGAGAATCACCAAAATATTGAAACCGCACACGAGGCGCCGCTCCGTTTTTTAGTACAATAGATTGCCTGCGTTTTGAGGTTATTCATTTTTGATCAGTCACAAAACCGCCCATTCCAATACTTCGTCCACCGCACTTTGCAGCCTGTCGTGAAACAGATTCCCAAAACATGACTGGGCCATCAGGGCAGAGATGGACGTAGTTTCTGAGGCAATGGACGTCATGAATAAAAAGTGAATAAAGGACTGGTCCAATGACCCAACCCTGCGGGACACCGGCTTTGATGGGCCGTGTTGTCGACCAGACGTTATCAATTTTGATCCGAAATTTCCTACTCTCAAGGAAGGAAATCAAAATTCTTAGAAGCGAATTTTTGAATATAAGAATAATCCGCGATGCTGAAATATGTTTGCGCCTTTAGGTTAGGATACCTTGGAAATCAGAGCCAATTGTGAGATTTCTATTTAGCTTGTCAAAAACCGCTGAAGTATACTCTGGTTTCAGAGTAAAAAGGCCGGCTCACTTTTATTAGCCTGTGTTATTATGAATATTCAAAAATGGATATAGGGCTGGCTTTATAGGAGTGACAATTTTGTGCTCAACAAACCTATGAAGCTCTACATGGATGCAGACATTCATTATAATAATAATAATGCGTTTATTGTCCAACAGAGAATACCATTTACAAAGCAAAGAGCAGTAGTATAGCTTACATGGTAGTTACAGCACAAAATAGAGATATCTTAGAACAACGAAATAAACAGAAATAGAAGAAGTACCACAAATGTAAACATAAAAAACTTGACCAAAATCTATCGGAGATGGACCCGAAGTTTCTTCTTTAATTTACAAAAACTACAGCAGTGAAGAATACCACATATACTTGAAATTTTGTTGGCATTTCGGCACATAAAACTAATCGGAGCCTTCGATAGTAAATTAGTTTGTGCTCTTTGACCCAGGAAAGTACTAAAGTGCCTAGATGTTATTGTAAGAATCAGAATACCTACCTGAGCTAACAATATAAGGCAACCAATTTTCCCACTTAAAAGCTTATGCAAGAATAGTGCGCTGATATCTACGCTCTTTCAAAGACTGGTAATCAAAACTATGTTGTATCTCAGGATAACTACTAGAACTAGAACGTCTTGGTGCCTACATACCATGATTTCAAAAACTATGAATTTCAAAAATTTATTTTGTGGTTTTTTAATAGCAACGATGTACTAGGTATATTTAGAACTCCATATGAGTGAGGAGTATTCCAACTTGGATCTCATTAGACTGAAATACCGAGAAGTTCTTGCAATTCCTAACAATAAAATCGTATGTGAGACAAGCACTTAGAGCTGTTTGACTTACATGAATATTAAATCTCATCTGCTTATCAAAATAGACACCTAGATCTCTAATGCAATCAGTTCTTTCTAGTGCTGAATTGTCAATAGTATACCGATAAGATACAGGCTTGGACGAATGAATGTTACTATTTTGGATTTAGATATGTTCAAGTATGGGTGATTTCTAGCACACCAGTTCTGTAGGAAAGTGATTTGTTCCTGCATGATAATACAGTCCTCTTTACTGGCTTATGGCAAGTAAATGAGTCAGCAAAATCATTGATATAATGTGAGAAGAGAAGAGGTTTTAAATTGGATCCCTGCAACACACCGTTAGTCGCAGTGAATACTTCCGTTCTCACATTATTTACACATTGTCTATCAGATAAATATGATTATAATAGAAAGAAATAATTATTCTATAAGCCTAGATAGCAACATTTCTTGAGAATATCTCATGACTGATTTTATCAAAAGCTTTAAAAAAAACTTACTTGATACCACTAAGTTGCAGATAGTTGACTGCAGTTTCGTAAAACCGTGTTGATAAATCGATATATAATTTTTGGCGGACTGCTAGATACGATCATATACTCAGTGACATTAGAAGTGTTAAACCCAAAAAAATAAACGAAATGATCGATGTCTGGTTGTAGCACCTCATTCCAAGCAAATCGAACTTTGTGGATTAGCTGTGGTTGTGTCTATGGCGGATGGTGCAGAATGGATAGTCTCCTCCCCATCATATCCCACATATTTATGTTCGATAGGATTTAAATCCGGTAAGCAAGGTGGCCGCGGCAGAACATTAACTCCTGCTTCTTGAAAGAAATCCAACACCACGCCGTTCTCCATGGCGGCGTCTTACCCTTCTACGACCATCAGTCACATGATCACATTATGCCATTCTGCCTCCCAATGTTGCCGTTCTCTGCTCCAGTTCAAACATTGACGTCGTTGGTCCAGAATCAGAGGAAGCACTAACCGTGGATGTCCAAAGGCTCGAATGCGGCGATAGAGTGTAAGCATAATACGCGTAGTAGCGAAACGGTCTCGTAAGGCTAGTTGCTTGAAGCGCCTGTCTTGACGCTCTGTGGTACGCCTCAGTGGACCAGTTGACCTTTTACGTGCTCCTCTACGTTCTTCTATCCACACACACATTACCGTCATTGCAGTACAATTAACACGGCGGCCAATTTCGCGATAGGACACACCACCATCTCGATAGGCAATAACTCTACCCCTGTCAAAATCGCTAACATGCTGATAATTTGGACGTCTTCGACTCGAGGCATTTTGTTATGCTTACCACTAGTAAGTGAAGGACAATAACTAAAAATATATGTACTACTCAGCTCTCAGAAACTGCTTTCTTCACAAAAAGTAAGAGATAACATTTTAACTAAGGTAATCGAAAACAAAGATAATGCGTTTACATTGTTGTCACAGCATGCTTTAAATATATTCATTATGTTGCCAAAAAAACAAGTTGGAATTTTTTTCTAATGTCTAACTCTTTTAATGTCACTGAGTGTTCAAGATGCTTAGAAAAATTTTCAAAATGGATATTCCTCTGTAGTTAGTAATGATATTGGAAGATTGACTTCTTGATTTAAATTGGGTGTTTTCACTATCAATTATTTACCTAAAGTAGAAGCGTAGCTTCTCCTTATAGGAATGCAGTAAATGGAGGCGATTTATCAAGTTAGTAGTTGAAAAAAGAAACTATATCTATCGATTAGACTTATTTTTATTCGAAAAGATATCTTAAACAAATTAGTACCCACCGTAAAACCATCGTTAAAGTCCTCATCCAATTTGACTAACATGTATGCCCACTTTTTGTCGCCATTGTGTTTCAGCTCTATTTCGTGATAGGTTGAAATGCTGTCATCATCACATGGATAAAGTGCCAAAACATTGATCGAGGTTTCTTTGAATTCCACTGCTTTCTATAAAAGGACATCGCTGAATGAAAGTTCTTGCAGAATACTGTCAGGATAAGTGAACAACAAATTAAATACGAAAAATGAGGTCAAGTGGGTCGACTCTGCACTTCCCACACAACACCGTTATCAGTTCATAAAGTATTATGTTCAGCACAAACTAGACTCTTTGAGAAAAAAGTCAGTCAACCAGGTTCATAGGCATTATTTATTCCCTGCACTAGCGGTAGTGCATCTAGCAACATCGGCAATCCCCGATACTTAGCCCGGTCAGACGTTGCAGAGCGGTCAGAGCATACGAAACACTATGCTGTGGCGCGTGTAGGGGAAAAGGGGGTAATGGGAGTCACTTAAGCAAGATATAGAATAAAACACACAATTTTTACTTTATCTTTATTTTAATCAACTTATAAAATATTTTAATCGTTACACTATCAGTCTCAGACAGTTTCATTACCTTTGGAATCCTATATCATTTAACATTAAACTTAAAAAAAACATTTTTGACCACCATTGTTCATATCTGAGGGTAATTATAGTCACTATGAGCACAATGAGAGTCTAGCCTAACAATTGTCACCAGTGGCGGCCGGTCCATAGGGGCGAAAAGGCTACAGCCCCCCAAGACAAAATGCGAATTAACAAAAAATTTAAAATATGATTTTGTGATTAAATAATTTCCAGATATATACGAAAATTCAATCAAAACCTGAATTTTAATAGTAGCCAGTTACGCAACACGCAATATATATATATATATATATATATATTATCCGATCCCAATACCCCGAAGTCGCGAGCTAGATTCCCTATCGATTCGAGGCTAGAATAATTTTTGCCGCGATCGCCGACCTGATTGAGTGGCTCGCTACGTCAAACCTCCCACGCGCTTACGAGTTTTATACGGGATTTTAACACGCGAGTTGGCGAAATAATTTTTAGCCAGTCCCGATTTACGTGTGTACGAAATCGCTTCGTCGCGTCCCCGTGCCGTCGTTCGGGCGTTCAAAAAGTTTAAAATGGCAAATGAAGTACAAAATTTGTTAAAAGGTGAATTTTCTCGGCTTCCGCTTGCTGAAAAAATAATAATAAAATCCCTTGGTAGGCCGATTCCAAATATCAACCTTACTCAGGCTGATAAATCGACGAAAGCTGGTTGTTTTAAGAGACATTTTAAGAAAGATATCTATAACAAAAACAAATGGATATGCGGTTGTGGCACATTAAACGCCCTGTTTTGTTTTCCGTGCTTACTGTTTTATTCAGATGCAGCGGAAAAGACATGGACAAGAACTGGATTTAAAGATTTAAAGCATATAAACCAGAAAATTAGTAAGCATGAAAATTCGGCTCGTCACATGATTTGTTCGACAGAATTAGCTTTATTGGGAACAGCCAGTATCGCTGCTCAGTTAGATTCCGCTTACAGGCAAAATATTATTAAGCACAACGAGCAAGTGGACAAAAATAGATATCTTTTAAAAAGAATAATAAACTGTATAAAGTTTTGCGGTACATTGGAATTAGCGTTAAGAGGGCACGACGAAAGTGAAGACTCTGAAAATCGTGGCATTTTTCGAGAGTTGATTAATTTTACGTCCGAACTGGATACAATATTAAAGGAACATTTAAAAAGTGCGACTCTGTTTAAGGGTACTTCTAAAACAGTACAAAATGAAATACTAGATAGTATGTTAGAAGTCTGCCAACAAGAAATTCGACAGCAAATTAATGCAGCAGAGTTTTTAGCTATACAGTGCGACGAAACAACAGATATTTCACATCATTGTCAAATGTTAATGATATTTAGATATCTCCATGAAGGTGAAATACAAGAAAGATTTTGGCGTTTTTTGAGCGTTACGGACAAGACAGCTGAAGGTTTGGCAAAGTGTATCGAAGAAGAACTAGGCCCATTATTAAAAGATTCACCCCACAAATTAATTGCGCAAACTTATGATGGTGCAAACGTAATGAGCGGTAGCAGTGGTGGAGTTCAAACAAAAATCAAACAAAAATATCAGAACGCTCATTTTATACACTGTTACGCTCACCAACTGAACTTAATTATGCAGAGAGCAGCCAGCCAAAATCCAAAAGTAAAAGTGTTTTTTTCAAACCTGTCGGCAATTCCAAGTTTCTTCTCCAACTCCACGCACAGATGCGATTTATTGGAAAAAATAGTTAAAACCAAAATGCCAAAGGTTGCGCCAACACGGTGGAATTATAACATTCGCACAGTCAGTGCCGTTTTTGAGAACCGTGAAAGTCTTATTGATTGTTTCCGGGAGTTAGAGAATAAATGTGATAAAACAATTACTAGTAAGGAGGCATACGGTTTAAGAAGAGCACTCGAAGATTCTGATTTCATCTTTTTTTTGACTTTTTTTCACAAAACCCTACCGCACGTAGCTATTTTGTTTAACCAGTTTCAAAGTAGGAATAAAGACAGTGTACAACTTTTAAAAGATATTGACGTATTTGAGAAGGCCATTGTATTGATTAGGGACACTACAGAGGATATACAGCAAACTGTTGAAAATGAGCATGGAGACAATGGAAATAAACGCAGAAAAGTAGGACCCGAAGAAAGAAATTGTATTATTGCAAAAGAAGTTTGCGATATAATAATTGTACAGACAAAAGAGAGACTTTCTTACAGGGGTCATCTAGAAGCTGCATCTTTATTAGATACACAAAACTTCACAAACTATTCGAGATATTTTCCAGCAAAAATACTGAATTCAGTTGTGACTTATTATCCAATGGTAAATAAAGAAAAACTGAAAACCGAATTAGAAGTAATGTACATGAGGGAAGACTTCAAAAATATTACAGGTGGTTTGAATTTGCTGTCCCTATTGACTAATAACAACCTAGAGGAAACTTTTAGCGAAGTAACTAAGTTGTTGCAAATAATTATAACTACTCCCATGTCAACTTCCGAAGCAGAGCGCTGTTTCTCAACCCTTAAGAGGATAAAATCGTTTTTAAGAAACTCGATGGGCAATGAACGACTGAATGCATTGGCAATGATGTCTGTTAATAAGAATCTGGTACATAATATCAGCAATTTCGACGAAAAAGTGATGGAACATTTTATTTCACAGAAAGACAGAAGATTAGACTTTACATATAAACATTAAAAAATATTTTGTAATAAATAGAAGTGTGAAGTGTGACAGTTGAAACACAATGTTTGCTCTAGCTGTAGGTAGGTATACTTAGTCGTTTATAATACAATAATACATTTAGGTATACCGTATTTCTGTTCTCTTTTCCAGTTATTTATAGTTACATGTGTTGTAAGAAAGTGAAAAACTATACTTTTGAGTACTGTTGTTCTTTTGATAATAGATGCTCTGTTGCTTTCATATTAGATGCTGCTTTCTTTTGCGATAAGTTCTCGTACCTAAAATATGTTTGTTCCTATACAGAGGACTGTACATAAAATATATAGGTATAGGATTGCCAACTGATCCATCCACAAAATCAGGACATAAAAAATGCAAAAAAAATTATAGCTCTAAAAATGTATATTTGAATTTGAAGGCTCAAAATGGAAGTTTTTGGGCGTGGCACCGTAAAAATTCTTTGCCTCCGGCGGTGACTGCGGCAGGCCACCCTTCCCTACAATAGCCCCCCATTTCTCACAGCCACCGGCCGCCACTGATTGTCACATACGTAACCTTTTGGCGAGTCCCATCCTGTGCAACTAGCATGTGCCCATAAGCCACAAGAAGTGCATCTCTATCATAACTCATTGTTGTGAGCAAATTCGTCACATATCAAACATTTATTAAAATCTTCGTCTTCATCAGCATCACATATCTGATTAAGACTAATATCTGATTCTGAAGAAGTGCTTAGATCTTGAGGTACGCGCCTTTTGGCCTTGTTTGCAATATCTTTCTTAGGTTTCTACTTCTTGCTAGCTTTCGGCATAAGGTTTTTTCCTTTTGCTGCTCTAGATGCTTTCTTATTTTCTTTTGGACGGGTGTTGATGTCATAATTTTGCATGTTGCTTCATTCGTCCTTTCCTTATGGGCTTTTCAGGAATCATTTTGACAGATAATGGAAGCAGATCTTCAATATTGGAATTCAATATTCCAGGAGCTAACGTTTTCGATGAAGTCGATGGCATTGACTCAACTGCAATGGATGACATTGATGGCATATGATGTATTTCTTCAGGCGATGTAGATGGTGTTAAATTCGTTGTAACCGATGAATTACACGGCATTGGATGTATTGTTGCAGATGCTGTGGATGGTACTGGATCTGTTGGAGCAGACGTAGATGGAATGACGATTGAGGTATCTTAATTACTTCAGGTTGGGTTAAGACTTCAGCTGCGGTAAAATCATCATCAGAAAAAATATTCGGATTATATGGAACAATACCTGATGCCCCGAATCCTGATTTGCCTTGATTTATAAATGCTACGATAGAATATGCTTTGTTTAAAATAGCCGCCACGTCGTATGGAGTTATTTCCTCTGCAAGGCGATTTTTTAAAAATAAATTGCACTCCTTTCTGTTAATAGCTTTAAGAGGACCAAAAAATGTGAGATCTAATGACTGCATCCTGTGGGATGTATGTGGAGGCAGTGACAGCATGTGTATATTATTTTGTTTACAAAAATCATACATCATCAAATGACTGGCGTAAGTATTAATAAAACAGGCGCCTGTGACGATGGCTTGGAATACATGGCAAAGTGTTGCAGCCATTCAAAGAATAGATGTTCATTAATCCACCCATTATCTGAACATTTGTATATAGCTTCTGCAGGACCGTGTTTCCCAAGCTGAGGAGTCATTCTTTTTCTCGGGAAGATGAACATTGGTGGGACAAAAGTACCAGCAGCGCTCATGGCACGCAAGAGTGTGATATTCTTTTTGATCGTCAAGGTACAGTACTGTGTTTTGGAAGCATTAAACTGTAAAAGATTGTTGCGTCCCCAAGCAGTGATAACCTCCAGGTCTCTCGTCAGAGAGGAAGTCGTCGCTAGTCTTCTTTTTTCCAGCTCAGCGGTGGAGTTGGCAGCAAAGATCTTGGCATGCACTTCGGCCTTGGCCTTTGAGTCCGATACAATCATTCCATCCTGACACGTAAGTGGTGGAAGGCTACTGTGTGAAAAGATCTTTTCAATCTGCTTGGCATGCGTCCAGAAAGACCGACTGCCATTGCGCTGTAACATTACCCTGTGCCTTACTCTTATATCGTGCTGGTTTTTGGCATTGCGAACCGCTTCGTTATATTTGTTTCTGGACTTGACGTCGGCTTGTATGTTCTCTACAGTGGGGTTTTGTAAGAAGGTTCTGTATGCCTTGATCTTCTGCGGCGAGCAGTGTCACACGATTTGTTAAACCAGCCGTTGGACCCTGGTTTAGGCATTTTCACTGTATGAGGAATGAACTCCTCCATTCCAACGTGGATAATTTCGGTTATCGAAGAACAGACAGCCGACGCATCCGCGTCGGTGAAGCAGTCACTTCTCCAAGGAAAGGTATAGAAGAAGTCTCTGAGCCCCTCCCTGTCGGCATGTCCGTAATGCCAAATTTTGCGGCCTGTAAGAGTTTCTGCTGCCACAACGGGTTCTGACCGTAACCTAACCAGCACAGCACAGTGGTCTGAGTATACCCAGTGGGGACAGGACAGCAGTCCTGTAAGGGGCAGGATGCGTGGTCAGAAAGAGACCCAGTAGGCTTCTGGCATGTAACGAGACGCGAGGGAGAAAAGTAGGGCCTGTCACCAGCTAGGTGGCCCCTTGAGTAAGAGCGAACGCTTCAACTGCACGACCTGCTGCATCGGTCTTGTTTGAGCCCATCCAAAGCAAATTATGGTCATTGAAATCACCCAGGAGAACTACCTCTGAAGCGGAGTGATTGATGTTCAGGAAGTCGATCTTGACGGCGAGGTCATCCCAGCTATGGTCCGAGGGAGAGCGATAAAGGCAGCAAATAAATTTTCGGGATGCTTTGGAGTTGAGGGGAAGCCACAGAATTACCTTCCGGTCTTATTCCAGAGAAACATTTCTACAGCAGGAAAGACTGCTGCGGACAAAGGCCACAACTTCCTCGTTCTTTCTCAGATTGGAGCGCACCTCGAAATTTGGGAAGCTAAGTTGGTTAATCGGTGCGGACGCTGAGATTTTTGTCTCTGCCAAGAAAAGCATGGCGGGACGGCTGGATTGCAAGTAGTGATGAACAGCATCAATGTTGCTATCAATCCCGCAGATGTTCGTGAAACAAATTTTATCTTCGATGTTGTTCCCTCAAGTCCACCCTCCACCCGGACATTCCTAGAGTGGAGTGAGTTTATGTCCAGAATTCTTAGTACTCGAATATCCCGCATCATTAATTTCTTTGTTTTGGAATATTACCACCTTCTTTTTGCGTGTTAATGATATTAAATAGACCTAAAGTGGTCCGTTGGCGAACTTGTACCGCCACCCGGCAATCGGTACTGATTCCTTAACGCGTGTACAATCACCTGAACGGGAAGAAGTTGTATGCTGGATACTTCCGGAACAAGCATTTGCCACGGCCCCGCTCAGTAGGGTTGAGGGTTTTTGAAATTCAATATAGATATTACAGTAATTTTTCAGACTTTTGTTGTCGAGGTTAGATTTACGGCATAGTTGTTGTTTTCTCAGTTTTCGAACCGGTGTTGATCGCATGTAAAAATGTTAGATGTTAGATCGTAATTATTTTGATATTGTATGTCTGTACGAAACAAGTACAGGAATACAAAGCTATACATATTCACGTATAGTGCAGCAGCTCTGTGATTTAAACGAATTCAATATAGCAACATAAATAAAAACACATACGCGAGGAGAGATGCGGGACGTGTGGTATTGACTTTGAGCATCGATCGATGCAGTTTCTGGACAGGCCACAGGCGCACCGCTAAACAAATCTCATAAATGTCTATGTCCAATTTAGGCGTTCATCTAACATAGTGCTCCGCTGCAACACCAACCTCGAACAAAATCTGTCAAGCTTTACACACTTTTCAAATTACTATTGAGCAACAAACAGAACATGATTCACTTTTTAAGTGCAATCTGTCTAGCTAATATATTACCCAGACTTAGAATTGTCACAAGTCACAATACTCGTATATACGTATAAATCGTAAGATTTCTGCTGTAAACTAGTGATGTCAAAGTGGGACAGCATTTGGAATACCAAAGGATACAAAAAAATCGCAATGCTCAGTTCCTATAGCTATAACTTATACTTAGTATGCCTCTGTCGCCATGATGTGTCAGAATGTAACACAATTGTGTTAGATTACAAAAGCAAGTGTCAGACTTCTGGGGGGCTCTAAATCCGCCACTGCATACAGAACACCTCTCAGAGCACCTCATCCCAATTAGGCGCGATTTGGAGTGACCCCTTGTGACTTTTTCTATGAAGTTTTTTAAAAAAGCCGACGAAATGTCATTTTGTAGACTAGGTAGTTTTTAGTGTGCAAATAGTTTAATCCACGTAGAGCTACAAAAGAAGTGTAGGTACAACAGCGTGTGCTAAGTAAACAGAAAAACCTACATTATGTCACAAAAAACCTACGAAGTGTCAAAAAAGCCGACGATGTGTCACTTTTCAAGATGCGTAATACCGACACGGCTATTATGTGAAAAACCTATAAAACGTCAGAAAAACAATAAAATGTCATCTCACAAACTAGGTAGTTTTTAGGGTTAAATACGTTTGCTCGCTATGATCGCTGTGAGAGTCCATCTATGGAGTAATGACTCAACTACACGCATTGTTGGCTGTAGAAAGCAGGTATATGTTTTGTGAAGCCAAGTAGTCACTCTTGTTTATCTGAGAAGATGTGAAAAAAAGAAAATTGGTTGTGTAGCAAGATCGCACCTGGATGACTATGTGTATTGGTTTGCATCTGTATAAAATCAGTGATATTTGTTGTGTGAGAAAATGATTACTGAATATGCTGCCAATATCTATTAACTGTGCCCGACGAGTTATTTATAAGTTGTCCTTTCTGAAGACAGGTTATGTACAAAGTTAGAGATTTCAATTTTTCACGTTTTTTTTTTAACATTGAGGAGCATTACGGCAAATAGCCACCGAGAACCCGTTGTGTGCAATAAAGCCACATAGCAAAAAAAATAGGAATGAAGCATCGCACTTCAATGCCTCACATCTAGGCGCTGATTTGTGTTTTCAACTGACATCGCAAAATAAATTTCTATCAAATTTAAATGACTGCCAAATGTTAGCCATGAAATTTGTACGAGTTTCTTAATGGCTTATAAATACACCTCAAGGAACGCATTTTTTTCTAATTCAACCTAAGCAGTATCTCCCACAGGCATCGAGATTCTCATGCATAGGATCCTTATTATATATCGGAAAATCTCTTAATCCATTGGCCATCAATTTTGTTGTCTCTAAGCTATCTGATAGGACCATAGGTTTCCAAACTATTGAGTAGTTTCGTATTTTGGCTGCCCATAGCTGTCCGCTGTTCAACGATATTTTCGCTGCCCAGTTCACCCCTTGCTTAGAACGCGCTTGATAGCACACAGAATATATTGTAAAAAATTTCAATATCGAAAGTAGTAAAACTTGAGACATACTTACGTCAAGTGAACATCGCGCTACTTGAATGTAAAAGGCCAATTCCCAAATACCTAACCAGGACTTCATCATTGTAATAGTACATTTGGCGAATTGATTATATTTTATAATTTTCATGCCTATAAATTGGTATAGGAATGGCATAATAACAGCATTTTTCTAATGAAACACGATGCGGAAGGAACATTTATCTGGTGTGCGATGTTATTTTTTATCGAACACAGTATTGCATGCAGTACCTACTAGCTATAGTTGAGGATATCAGCTCAATTATATATTTTTTGCGAAAATTATTATCGTGTAATGTTACTACTCTATCGTGGTACTTGTATGAGGCATATCTTCATTTTTTATTTTTTATTTTTTATTTTATTTTTATTTTATTCATTACAACACCCTACAGTAAATACCAATTACAGGGTGAGGAAACACAGAACATAACACAGATATAAAAGACAATAATAAGTAATAAGTAATAGACTAAAAAGTGTAAAAGATACATGCTGGTTACTTAATAGTATTTTTTATGTCTGCAATTCTGCAGTTAAATATATCAATCCTGTTACTTGCAGAATTGTAATTCCTACACATCACATGTAAAGGGGAATAGTGAAAATAATTTGTCCGTGCCGCAGGTAGATAAAACGTAACGTTTTGTCGGGATGTCAGCCTAGGTACGTTAAATGATAACTGACCCAAGAAAGCTAAATCATCACTAGCATTAGTGATCAATTTAAATAGAAAAATCACTGACTGGCAAGTGCGCCTTGCTTCAAGACTGCTGATTAGGTGTTTTTCAAGTAAGGAATCATGAGGTATACCTATGGGCGGGTAAACGCCATCCACTTTCAGTGACAAATATTTTAAGAAACGCCTTTGAACACATTCAAGCCTACTTATATGAATAATATGATGCGGATTCCAAATTAGCAATGCATACTCAAGCTTCGACCTAACATATGCATAATACAGCAACTTCAAGGTGGTACTCTGAGTGAAGTCACGGCAGTTTCTTACAATAAAGCCGTACATGCGGTTTGCCTCGGAAATTTTGCTGTCGATGTGTTTGACGAATGTTAGTTGGGAGTCAAATGTCACGCCTAAGTCACATAAAGTTGAAGTCCTCTGAATAGAGCTACCTGACAGGGTATAGTCAAATAACAGAGGATTTTTCTTCAAAGTGTAAGACATTACGTAACATTTATTGATGTTTAATGACAGATTGTTTTGTGAGCACCAAGCATCCAACCTGACCAGATTTTCTAAAAGTTGATCACAGTCTGATTCATCAACTACACGACAAAACATCTTCAGATCATCAGCGTAAAGTAAACAATTCTCGCCAACAGCATTGACTATGTCATTCACAAATATGACGAACAATAAAGGCCCTAGGTTACTACCTTGTGGCACTCCGGAATTGGCTACATACTTCGACGATCTGATGCCATTAAACATCACAAATTGATTTCTTCCAGTGAGGTAGGACTTAAATAGTTGTATTAAAGGATCAGATAATCCATGAGATTTCAGCTTATGCAATAGCATCCTGTGATCAACTCTGTCGAAAGCCTTGGAGAAGTCTGTGTAGACCACATCTGTTTGTAATCCTCTGTCAATGTTTTCTGCTATGGTCTGTGTGAAGTTCATCAGATTTGATACTGTTGAGCGCCCTTTCATGAAACCATGTTGTTGAACACATATTTTTCTGCTGACATGATGATATAGTCTGTTATATATTAATATCTCTAGAGCTTTTGAAAAATTGCACAATATTGATATAGGTCTAAAATTTGATACATCATTCCTACTGCCGTTTTTGTGTATTGGACATACTTTAGACAACTTCCATAATTCTGGAATTGTGCAGGTGGTAAGGCACAAGTTGAATAAAACGGTCAAAGGACACGCCAACACAGAGGCACAGTCACGCAAAATAAAAGCTGGTACATTATCCGGTCCGGTAGTCATCTTAGGTTTTATTTGCTTCAAGGCTAAGGCAACTTCATCCTCCTCAAATCTAGTAATATTGAGTGGTTGTTCATTGCTCATTAAAAAGTCATCAGTTTCTTCGGTGGCTGACGAAGACGGGTAGTATTTGGAGAAGTTATCCGCAAAAGCATTTAATATGTCGTTCGGTTCCAAAAGTTCATTACCATTGTAAATCATCCTACTTGATAAGTTTGTTGATTTTCGTTTAGAATTTAAGAAGCCCCAAAATTTATTCGAATCTCTTTGTATTTCGTTCTCAGCTTGTCTGACATATATTTTGTATGCTTCATCTGAATCTATCTTAATTTTTGATCTAAGTTCCCTGAATGTCTGATACGTTTTAGGATCATTGTTGCGTCTGTAAGATCGGTGAATCTTCTCCTTGCGTTTGATAAGCTTAATTATTGCTGAATTGAACCAGGGTGAAGTTCAAGAGAAAAGAAATAACAATAGAATTTGGTAAATTCGATTCATGATAGGATTGTATCGCTACCCATCATGATGAAATAAGACACATACCGGCGCGGTATAAAAGCGATCTGAAAGAAACTGGCGACATCTATGAGCGGAACAGAAAAATGAACTTAGGAACCCACTTTGCAAAGAATTAGTGTTTAGATTTTTGACACCTCTCTAATGCCTAGTTTAATTGGGTAACTTCAGGTGGAATACGTTAATTTATGAGACAATAGCAGAGATGAATAGTGTAAGTATCTAAAAAGTTAATTTCTAAATATGTATAATTTTTGCTCTGCTGCTTTTTGGACGCCAGAATACAGTATATGGTTGGCTTCTTCAGGCAGAATACGTTAATCAATGTATTCCGGGTGTTTCAAATTCGACCCTTACCAATGGGATGGGAAACGGTAAGAACTACGCTTAAATTGGAGCAAAATCCATATTTAGGTAACTAACAAGATACAGCTTCGAATTTCAAACTACTTCCGGGGAGAGACGGAAACAACCGAATTTTCCCAAAATCGTTTTAATTTATTTCGGAGTCTTGTAAGTAAATTGCCGATTAACATTACCACTTTTCCTCATCTACAAGATGGCATAATTAGAATCTCAAAACTAGTTTTGTCTCTTGTCCGCCAGCATCAAGTTTACTTTTTCACATGGACGCCTAGAGTTCTTAATTCTGATTCCAAAAATGTATAATATGTAATACATTGACATTGCCAAACCATAGTTATTCCAGAAAAACGGAAGTTCCCAGGTAGGCCTTGAAATTATCAGTTAATCGTTTATTTTTTTTTTTTCGTTTACCAGATCAGACCACAAATTGCAAATAGTCTCAGAGTTTAGAAAACTGAGAAGAAGGGAAGTAAATGGAGTAGTAGACAATGTACAGAGAAGAGTCAGGCTTTGCCTATGAAATAACGGACAGCATTGTTGAACATCTGCCATGACTTACCTTTCCTTATTTATGTTATTGACATCAATAACATTTTCATTTTGTGTTCAGGTTTCGCCATACCTTTTTATTTCATCACTGAAAAATCTATTTGAACGTGAAATGGAAAAACAAAGTTGGTGACAAAAGTCCAAAGAAGAAATCTCGAATTAAAAATTTTTCTACGCCATCTTCTAGAAGGGAATAAGTAACGATGACAATATGCAATTTATTTTGAGATCCCACTACAAATAAAGTCAGAAAAAAATTAACAAGTTTTTGGGAAAATTCGTTTTTTTTCGTCTCTCTCCGGATGTACTTTGAATTTCGAAACCTTCTAAGCAGCTTTTGTTGATTACCTTTTTACCCAACTTTGCATCCATTTAATCAACTTATTATCTCATACAATTTCCGAGATCGAATTTGAAACATCTTGTATAGTGGAGAATATACAATAAAGTCTATTATAAAAGAACACTGCCAAGCCAGAAAGGTGGAGTGGGAGACGACCCGGCGGTGCGTGCAGCCTCGCCGACCCTGTAACGTACCCGGCATTCTGGAGTCCAGTCGCGTGAAATATGTTTAGTTATATTCTTCGATAAATGGACTGATCGATGTCACATCGTTTTATGGGATGTAGCACAGATAATCTTTAATTTTTCTGTCAGAGTGAAAATTTCCAATTCACCTTTTACACTAAGTGATCACTTGATAGGTACAATGTCTTCGGCTAAATATATATTTTTAGTAAAAATGATTATGGAAGTTGTCGATGCGATATAAAAATCCAAGCAGCGGAAAACAGAAAATAATAACAATGTAGTAATTAAAAGGTTTATTTTCTATAATATCATTTCATTTGAAATATGAGGTATTATGTGCAACAAACTTTTTACAGGTGATATGCAGATTCAAAATACCTATATATTTTTTCCTATTGATCTATTATTCTCTTCGACATTTCCTTCTGACGTTCCCCACATCCAGAGGTGGCTCTTCATTGTCGGAGTTAAGGGGGGTATGTACGATCTCGGGATCAAGAAAGTGGATAAATTGAAGAGGTCCACGAATACCTTATATCTATCACTGGAAATAGAAAAATGTACATACATATAGTTCATTTCTTATAAAGTATCTCTCAAACTAGACCGAAACTATACGATGTATCTAAGAATGGGCCCTTAATTCTCATGTCATTATAAACCTGATACAATATCTAGATTTATATAACAGCAATTACTGAGCACTTTATTAGAAATAACAGTGTCACTACTTACCTGAGAAAGATAATTTTGAAAACAATTATAAATTTCCAACAACTCATCAACATGTCTATTGAGATTAGCCACAAGACATATTTTCTGTTTATAGGTTTGAATTAGGTCAATCAAACTAGATCATTGTTTTTTGGCCATGTAGTTTAAAATACTTCTTGATAAATTATTTGAAGACAAAATTACAGAATGCTTATTATTCAACAAAGATGGAGTAAATATTCAGTTCCCTTGACTTCCGTGCCAAAAACCCTGTTTCTTTCTAACTACTTCCATGCTCTACACATTTTTAAAGATAATTTTCCTGGCTCGTTGCAACAGGGAGCCAACTATACCTCTATATAACTCTATATAACTCTCTAACCCTACCTCGTCACGGCAATTATTTCTCTTAGGAAAGTTGTGACACTGTAATTTTCAATAAAAACTCAGTAATTGCGGTTATATCAATCTAGATACTACATTATGTTTGATTCCTGCTTTGAGCAGACTGCAAATCGTTGTTTTTGATTGGACGAATTAGTGAGTAGGTCGCAAATCCTTCTTTTCGATTGGTTGGATTTGCACCTATAGTGTATTTACACCCAAGATAGAATGGATGCGTGATTGCCAAAAGCAAGGACGGCGTACAGGGTCGCATTCAGGCCTACGCTAAGTTAGGTGAATACGAAAACACGAGCACGCAGTGATACACGCGACGGTCGGTGGCCTGAATGCATCTCTGCCTGCCCTGCCCCTGCCCCGCGCATTATTCCGCCAGGCGACCCTTTGAAATTTAATGGCGAATTGACCAATAAGAGGCGTTGTCCACACCGGTTACCGAGAGCTCACGCGCTGTTATTATTTACATCTCATCTTGAATTTGGATTCAGTGTAGGCCGCAAATTTTGATTCCCAACAGTAAAATCGGGCCATATGGTCGCAGGCACAGTCTTTCGTAGTTATTTCACTTGAGATGTCCGCATTCTTCTTGGCAGTCTTAGTATTTGGGAAAGACAGGAGAGCATTCAAAATAAGACCTTATCAGGTAAATTATAAACAGTTCATGACTGATGCGAAATATGTTTTCTATACAGATAACGGCTAAATATAAGAGCACGGTTATGCATTATGTGAGGAAAGTAGTGAAATAACGAGACATCGGCTTGCATTACACCCGACCATCTTCTTTGACAACCCTCCTATTATTCCCAACTGTCAAGACTATCAAAGCGAATGTAATGACAGAATGAAGGGGCACCAAGAGTCAAAACGACTACGCATACGTCTCTAAACGTTGATTCTTGAATTATTGTTGAGATAATAGGCAGGTAAAATCTAAAACCTGGAAAAAATGTGATTATAGGTGTAGGAGTACTGACTCCAAAGCATTCGCTCTAGCTTTTGTCTATGTGGTTATCTGCTAAATCTACATATAAAAAATATAGATGTATAGGTATTCAGGAATCTGCAGTAAGAGGTCATATTCTTCATAAACAAAAAACCATTACATACCTCAGTGTCGACCTTAAGTACTGGTATCCTGAAGAACCCCCAGTTCCGAACTGCGAAGATCCTATCATCCTTTGTACCATAAGTAGATGGTTATCTAAGTAAAAACATTTTTTAGTTAGATGTACAAGATTATTATATTCAAACAGAAACTAATATCGTTTTTATACCAGGTGCGTCTGCATGCTTCAACAAAAAAAGTACTTGAATCTACCTTATCTACCTCATATAGATATTTTTATTGTAAAAAACGGAAATATTTGTCAAGAAACTGCCAAGAGCGCAAAAAATAAGAGCAAAATGAAAATTAGGAAACTTCACCAAAGCCAGCAAGATAAATCTACCAAAATGGCTTTTGCCACAACCATAATCATATATTTTCTTTGCATTTATGTAAATCCTGGCTCTGTTAGCATGCTGAAATGATACAGTCTGAAAGACAAAGTTTATTCAAGATTCTAAGTATGTGGCTGATATCTAATTCTATTATAAATTTCCAAGCGTACGAAGTTTCTTTCTAATAAATTCTTCCCAGCTTGGTTACTCGAACAAACTCTATTACACTTTGTTATTGTCAGCTTGTCTTCGCTTTAAAGTAGTTTAGTTTCAAGGGTACTTTGTATCGAACGGATTTAAAAAAGAAAGTGTGAATACGGGTTTTTTCGTGGTGCAGTATCGAATTCATTAGGATTCGCTTCGACGATTTCGCTGATTAGAGGGTCAATAGTATTCTCCAACATTATCCCTTGCCACAAATTAAATCGATCACTCATCAACATTGTAAAATTAATATTTTAGTGACTTAACATACTGACTACTTCTTGTAGAGCTATATTTCGTATTCTCTATATGTATAAAAAATGTTTTTCTTGACTATGGATGTTGTCATTGACTGCAGGTGGTAGACGGTCTCATATTGTCGAGCGTGGAAGTACCTACCGGCTGATTTCTAAGGCGGGGCTAGAATGTGTGCATGTCGCGCGTACTCGTGTTCCGTCGCTAGAATCTATCTGTGTGACATCCTCCCCTTTCCCCTATATCCTCCTATAAATCAAATTCATGCGAATAACCAAATGAAAATGGTATTTACCATTTTGGATTGGTATTTACCGTACCCAACTCCTGAGTAGTTTTATATTTCTGGTTATTATTTTACTTTGACAAGTTTTTGGCGGGTATTATATATATATATATATATATTTGTTGTACTTCAGTTTCATTTTTGGAAACTTAATACATGCTGACTTCAGTTGTAGCATAAAGTAGAGCACCTTATTAGTTATACTCATTACTGTTGTTGGGGACACCTTAAATCTAGTCCCTATGCTTAAAGAAGTATCCTGTGTGTAGCCATATACCACAAGACTATTAAAATATGGTCATATAAACTTACTGGATAATGACCTCCTGTATACGGTTTATTATCTTTTTTCATCGCTTTTTCCTACCATTTCTGCTGAATCAATAAATTAATGTTTTCTTTAACATACGGAAAAGTTTAGAGAATTGAAAATTATCATAGCTACAAAGCCATGGTTCCATCATTAATTTTTTTTCTGACAAAAAAACATTGCTGTCATTAATATTATGAAAGGTTTCTTTTTTAAACTCTCCATACACTGTTGTAGTCAAAAAGCACCCATTATTAAGTTATAACCGCGGTACATAACACAGACATTTTGGTTATTCGCTTGGATTTGATTATAGTCCCACGGCACCCGCGGATATTTGCGCCTTAGGCCTACGTAGTGGATCAAGTATTAAAAGTGAGTATGCTTTGTTAATATCGTTAGAGGTTAGACGTCAGTCGTACTTTTGATACTATGAATCGTTTTGTCTTATTAAAAATATTAAAATTTATAAGGCTAGCTCAAAGTGCAGTAATTTTTTTTCATAACCACCTTAAAGATAGATAGCAAAGAATGGTGGCAACATCAATATTCATAAAGCTTTAATCCGGAATACCTCAAGATTCCGTGTTAGACAAAGTGTCCACATTCGCTCATCAGAACAAGCTAAAAGTCTTGGACAATTCCAGCACAACTACCTGATTATGAACTCAGGTTTAAATTGCACACTAACTAACGAAATTAAAACATTTAACATTGTAAAATCCAAGAGCCCTGTCAAACGGACATTATTTAGTAAACAGAATTAATTATTTTAAAAACAATGCATGTCAGCCTATATTATTTATTATTTTTGTTTAGTGTATGATACGTTATAATTATGGTGGTTATTTGGATTTTGTGTAGTGTTTTGTACAGGGTGTCGCAGAGGAAACGCATTTTTTATGAGTGAATAGTATACCGCAAAGAGAAGTAGGTTGACCTTGCCTCACCGCCAGCAGAGAGCACAGGCAATGCAGTTTTAGGCATGGCATCGTGGAAAACTGAGCATCGTGTGTTTGCCGTCGAGCAATTTTTCCGAAACAATGATTCTGTAGTTACCGTGCAACGTTTATTCCGTCGCCAGTTAAATGTTGAACGCCAAGGGTAAATTCCAGATCGTAATTCGATACGGTTAAGGCATTTCTACTTACTGGATCTGTAATGAAGAGGAAGCCACCTGGCCTTCCCCGTACCGTCCGAACACCAGGCAATATCGAAATAGTGAGAAGAGCGGTCCTTGATAGTCCTCAACGGTCCACTAGATGACAAGCTCCAGTTCTGCGTATGTCCCGTCAATCGTAAAAACGCATTCTACACGACTTACAATTTCATCCCAATAAGATAATGATTGTGCAAGAGCTAACGGAAAGTGATTTTGCACAGCGTAGGCAGTTTTGTTCGAGAATGCTGACCATTTTTGGTGATGATCCTAACGTCGTCATAATGCTGAGTGACGAAGCACACTTCCGTTTAACGGGATATGTAAACAAGCAGAACTGTAGGTATTAAGGCTAAAGTGTACCCTCACAAACCCCTTACGTTACAGGAACTGAAAATTGCTATTCCCAAGAACTCGCAAGAATACAGTGGACCCGCGGTAATCCGACAAACGTTTTGCAGGGCGATGTCGGATTATAGAGTACTGCCTAAGTCTCTCTATATCCCTTTTTGAATAAGAGTACCATGTTATCCGACAAATTACAAATCGAATAATCTATTTGAACTACGAATCATGCTACATGATTACGTATATGTACAATATATAATTATGTGGAATTTAGTAAAATAAACATGACAATGGAGAGTTAATATCTAATTATGAAAATAACATCAGTGCTATAGAAATCACTTAAAATAATAACTAAACTTCTTTACGTTAGGAAATAATAATGTTCAAACAAATGCAAATATGTTGTAAAAATAGTGTTTCACAGGATATTATAAATAATCAAAAACTAAAATTGCAAATGATAATATGTACCAATCAATTTATAAAATACTCAAATATTCATATGTTTTTATTTTAAGTTGTTAAAGCGCGAGACCAAAGCTTTGCCCCTTAGTCTTCTGAAAAGTAAGAGCTCTTTGTAGAAACGAATTCCATGACGACTTTTGAAGTATTCTAGCCGTCCCTTGCTAGCCACAAAGTCTTCTTTTCAGATTATTTCCTTATAAAAAACTTTCGTGGCCAACATAGGTCCCGAATGGGCGCGTGCCTGTTTCTTTCCTGAAGAAACATGTACAAAGTTTCTTCAACCTCTGGATGTTCAGCTTTCTTTAGTGTCTGTCTTTTGCCTGGTCCACAGTCAGTAGTTGACACAAAGGTTTTAATATTCTCGTGGTTCTTCTTAATATCTTGAATTGTAGATCGATCTTCACAGTACTCACTGGCTAAACTGCTGAAGGATTCATTACTACTTGAGCGATCCAAAGTATTACTTTTTTATATAATTGTCAGTACTTTTTGCTTTCGCTTTCAGGCTTGTGAAGTCGTTATTAGGTATGCATATTAGTAAAGATTTGCCGAAATGTTTATGTAAATTCAACAGTGATAGCCGTGTCGGATTACACGGGGCGCCGGATTAGACATTGCCCGGATTACCGCGTGTCCACTGTACCACAAGAAATGATGTAGGTGTAATGCACAAGGGCGGTTGGAGATGTGCGAGCGAGAAGAAGGGCGACACTTGAGTGACATAATTTACCATAATTAATTTAAAAGTGCACTATTATTACTTTATTTAGCTGTAGTTAAAATAAAATTATCTTAAACATAAAAAATGTTATGCTTACGTGAAAATCATGCGAACCAAGCCGTTTATTATTATTAAAAAAGCTACCCATATACACTAGGGCGTGCATTACTGCGTTGTCTTTGCTGTCACACACGTCAAGCCAAGAGCGGATTTAGAGGAGGTGAGACCACCCCCTCCCCAGGCGCCAGTCTGCCATTTTTTCAATTGCATTTGCTATCAGAAGCGATGCTTATACGCGAATCATGTAGTATCCACCGCCCCCCACCACGCTCTTCGATTTCTAAATTATTCATCGCCCATACGAGCCCCTCACGGACGAACACCTTCCTGAAAATGAATGCTGTGACCACCGCTGCACCCCCTAGACAGGTTCCTAAATCCTAAATCTGCCCTTGCATCAGCCAAGTTTGATATGAGCGCTGGATATAGCACATACAGGTAAATACATACAGCAAATAAACACTAAGGCCCGTATCGTCAGTCGTCCCTACAATTGTAGGGCGCGTTTATGGCCTCCTTGATTGTCATACTCCCTTCTCTCCTTCAAAAATTTCTAGATTACACTTGTCCCGTGTCAGCGTCAGCGCTCTTCTATTGTGAAGATATGTTTTCTTTTTAAATTGTAGGAAATTTCAGGCTGACAAAACATGATATAACTCAAAAGCAAGCACAATTTGATGCAAATAGATGTTTGTGACATAACCTCAAAATAGAGCGCTGACACGGAGAAGTAGAAAACTATGACAGTCAAGGAGGCCATAAACGCGCCCTACAATTGATTGTCGTACTCCTTTCTCTCCTTCAAAAATTTCTAGATTGCACCCGTCCCGTGTCAGCGTAAGCGCTCTCCTATTGTGAAGATATGTCTTCTTTATAAATTGTAGGAAATTTCAGGCTGATAAAACATGATATAACTCAAAAGCAAGCACTATTTGATGCAAATTGATGTTTGTGACATAACCTCAAAATAGAGCGCTGACACAGTGAAGTAGAAAACTATGACAATCAAGGAGGCCATACAATTGTAGGGACGACTGACGATGCGGGCCTAAGGTCATTTTATACAGTCAGTTAAACTGTAGAGATATACCCACAGATAAAATTTAAAGTTATCACAAAATTTCGGATTTTTTATATCACCAGGTGATCGAATATGACGTCAGTGGCACTTACTTTCGATGTGCTTGTAAAAATATAGTATACCCGTTGATTTCACACTTGGCGTTTTTGCAAACCGCTTGTCAACATCAAAACGATTACTAAGTGATTGGTGTCTTGGTTATAGCGGTCTGTTTTTTTATTTGTATCTAAGGTGATCGTTATTGACACGATATTTAGGTAATTTTTTAATTTTAACTTTGTAAAGAACGAGGATACGTATTAGTGATAACTACTCTATTAAAGGTAACTTACACCTCCATTTTGTGATGAGTGAATCAATATCCATAAGCAACGTCAAGATTTGATGTGGTTGGCTGAACCGTGGCTCATCTCTATAAAATGTGATCATGATCGCTCCCTGGAGAGCCAGATAAGAAAATCTTCGTTCTCCTCTTGCTACCAAAGCGTCGTGAATTTCCTTTTTGAAAATGGACTCGTACACTTCTCTGCGTTTTGCCAGATCGTTTAGACGGTACTGTTGTAGAGCTTCCGTTTTTTCTTGCTGCAAACATTTTCTTATTGGATAAGGATGAAAAATCAACGTACACTTCATCGAACTCTAGCCGAGTCCAACCACATATATGTTTTAATTTCGGAGGGCGTTTGGCGTTTTAGCGACGTGTCTGGTAGATTAAAAAACGACATATAACCTAATGCTCGCTTGTCGCTTGGGGGACAGCGTACCCTAATGGCTCATGGAAGTGTACATAAACCAGAGAACGCATTTTCCTGTGAGTCAATTTCGAATGTTATTTGAAAAATATACTGTTCTAAGCGAAAGGACTGTTCATACTCAGCCGTGACGTGACAGTGCTGTGACCGTCACGTGATCCGCCCGGCGAAACTAGAAACATTCTTCCTGGAATATGGATGAACTGATTCACGCTAGACCGGCACGTGGAAGTGGCCGTGTTCTCAGTGCCCTCGACGACACCGCACCGTAATGATCGCATTGTTTTGGAACGATATTTTCCGATTTTCACGGCCGTGTTTTTATGTAATTTCGTGAATAGTTTGATACAACTGGTCAAAGACATGAATGATGAAAAACTAATTGAATTTGTACGCGTACATCCTGTGCTGTAGAACCAGTCAAATTCAAAATACAAGGACTTCCGTTTTCTTCTCGTTTCTTCTTCTTCATCTTTAGTAGGTGGTAGACGGTCTCTGACTGTCGAGCGCGGAGGTACCACCCGGTGGATCTCGCAGGCGGGGCCAGAATGTGTAAATGTTGCATGCACGCGTGATCCCTCGCGAGAGTCCGTGTGGCGTCCCCCTTTTCCCCTGTGATTCCCCCTATAGCACCGAGGTACCCCATGGATGTTTAGGACTTAGGCCTTCGTGGCATTGGAGTATAAAAAAATCCAGAATTAATGCAATCATTGCAAGTTCAACTGGCACTGTCAGAGCACGGAGAAAAATACTGACCTGTATGAATTGAAAACACTGTGAGCTCATGTCAGCGAGAATCACTGGCACGTTACGGCACTGTCACGTCACGGCTGAGTGTGAATAGACCTTAACACGAAACGAATTGACGGAATACAGATCTGCAGTTATGTTGTCAGTCGTGTTTTTGTCAATGAAGTCATACAGCTATCGCTGTACAGACGCTCTATGCCAACTAGATTTCCGAGAGCTACACCATCCTTGGCAACAGGAGTGGCTTTATAATACGTGTATCCCTTACATAGTGTGACCTCCTGTTTCCAGTCTTCATGATTAAAATACATCCCATTACGAAGATAAACACATGCATCTTCCTTGATTCTTTAGCATTTTTTCAGATTTTTTCCATAAATTAATATTTATGCATTTTCCCTGCCTCACAGCCAATTTTTAATTTGAGAAGAGCTATAACTTGCCAACTTTGTAGATACTTTTTAATTGCAAAGGACAGCAAGACTTCATTAGAACTTTTCCCGGTAGATTATGGCTTCCTCAAAATAAAATTTCGTACTCAACGTTTTGGCTCATTAAAGTTACAGACGGCTGCTAAGCTTCGATATTAGCATTCCTTTTATGGTAGAATAGCTATTTAAGCATTGTTTCCTCAGCGTCAAAACAAACATGAGCACTCTATTGCAGCTTTTATTCGCTTGCCGCTGCCCAATAGGAGCGCGCGTAACTTCCGTGGTCTATTGACTTGACTGAAAAAATGCGCACCCTGTCTGAATTTTAAGGGATATGTACGCGATTAATTAAATTATTACTTAGCGCAAAATTTAAATAGTAACCCAGTAGTTTTCCATATCCATATAAATTATAAACTCACCGTTGAAGAAATGGCTAGTACAATAAATTGCTTATAGAAAGAAAAATATCAAGCAAAGTTAAGTAGATATGACTTGTGGAACTGGAAAATTTTTTTCGAAGGTCCCCCTCCCTTCCGTTTTGAACTGGACACACCCTTGTACTAGCATGATACGGGGCCCCGGGGACTACAGGGGCTCGACGCGTGTAAGAAAAGATTTGGTTCCAATCTCAAGCAAGCTCTCACTAAATAAGTTAGCCGAAAATAAGAACTGCATATATTTCAGTTTAGGCCAAGAAATATCGAGATTTTGTATAAGGAAATCCTGCAATTTTAGCGACAGTAGATTTTTGGGTGGTATCGTTAGATTTTTGTTTTCTGATGATAAGTTCAAATTCGTGTCATGGTAGTGCTAGAGCATTTGCCGCCATTTTTAAAAATGCGTTTAATCGAAAACCTCGGAAACAGTCGATCCTTCGTAAAAAAGCATCCAAAGCAATTTTGGAAGGAATTAAATTCTTCATCATTTGACTTGTATAATTTGTCGTATAGACAGCAGATTAAGCATTTAAGCAAACTCAACATTAATTGAAAGGGCAAGGTTCGTACTTTTTAAATAAATCTCCTTGCTACATGTCTCAAATATACGCAAAATCACTATAATTGCATCTCAGAATTTTGAACTAATTGAGAAATTTGGGTCACGGACTCAGACTTAGCCAAAAATGTTCAGGAAATTTTGTGCATGACATCTCCTCATATGTAAATACGTAACTTGGACCTTAAAACTAGAAAAACGGCCACCGCCTGTTTTATCTTGTCTAAAAGTAATTTTAATCAATAAATAGGAGTTAAAAGTTCCTGAAAGTGGAAGATTAAAACTGACTAAAGTACGTCTAAAATACAGGAAAACTTGTTTGATTACTTATCAGCCAGCATTTGCGATTATTTACACAGAGTTTGAGATGACTCAAAAACGGTTTGACTTATGTATGAAAATGAAGAATTTTGCGTAAAATCTAATACTTTAATAATATTCATGGTGTCTCGATTGAAGGCAGCAAGTTGTTATCTACTTATGGTACAGCCATTCCAAAAATATTCTAGCCGAATTGTTCCAATCATTTTTACCAAAACCCCTGTTTTGTAATTGTTTAACGTTTATTTCCCCAGTAAGACATCCTTCATCTCCTGAGACGCCTTGTATCCTGTGTAAATCTTTAATTGAATTTCCCATGCAATCTACTACGCGATAGATTTACTAGAACACAGACGCATGCTTTGTTTCGATTTACACCCTCCATAATTCAATTTAACTAGTAATTACCACAGGGTAGTTGAGGATCTAGTTATCCGTCTGTTTCCATGGAATTGAATACGTTGACATTTATAAATGACTCTTGGAAGGGCATTTTCATCATTGTGATACATTAGCTTTGGCACTCTAGGTAATAGCTGCTTTTCCCCCAGTTGTTTGCCTCCAATACCTATACCATATTGGAAAGCAAACGCGTTCAATTCTGAATAAGCTCTAGATTATTTTTCCAATACCGGTAACCAGCTCCCAACAAATCGTTTCTAAGATGTTTGACACTGTGTCAAGGGTGTTAATGATAAAATGGAAAGGTTGCACAAATTCACGTATTCTATCCGTAGATAGCTAGCCTAATAGTATATTCCCTCGTCAAAAAATTATGCTGATATAGTTGGTACAGCGCCATCTATGAGACACTGACTATTTCAAAATAAATATCTAATTAGTGTGGAGAGAAGAAACATAGCTGTGACAAGTTCTCATAGATGGCGCTACGGTATCTGATTTCATGTCTGATAAATTGTTGGACGCGGGAATATAGTACCAGGTTGGTTATCAATGTGACCCATGATAGATTATTCTATTTAATTTTCCATAAATCTTACGACTTTACCCGGAAGAGATAAAAACAGTTCCTAGGATTCTTAGTTAAGTCCAAACAAGTTGAAGCGGAGGAGCGGATCTTTTCTTACAATAAAGTGTCAGTGGTGCTAAGAGAAGTAGAAAGAAATTGAAGATTACTACATAGGGTTTTTGTCGAATTATTAGCAGTCATGGAGTCGTTATAATAATTATTTCATTACATCAGAGTTTGAATGGTACCGAATTATAAGCGTTAAAAAAACTTATCCCCGCTTCGGAATTTCTACTTATTTTTCAACAATCGAATAAGGAAGTTCACTCTCTTTGGCACTTTTCTGATGCATAAAAAATACACTTCGCAGTTATTTTTTTCATAATCAACACCTTCCATTCAAAATTTGCTATCAAAATAATATTACTTACTGTTGCTAGAACTTCTTGCTCCTTCAGTAATACTTCAACAGACTTCTTATATTTTCCCCAAAAATTGAAGCCTTCGTGTTCCAATCCTGGGGTTCTTTCAAGCCACTGTTGGACAATGTCTGCTAGAGATTCCTCTTTCTCTGACAATTCTATCTTTTGTATAGCTTCCTAGAAGTGATTTCGTTTATGTATTTGAAATTCAGAATTCTATTTTGAATATAGATGATTTTGAATTTAGAATAGAAATTTGCTACATATTTCTTGGTACGATTAACATATCTAACCTCATTGTTCCCAAATACTCTAGCATAGTTCTGATTGTATTTGACACGGTTCTCCTGTCTGACTCCTAGTTTATTTTCTACCATCCGAAACTGTAGACTCTGAAAGCCTGAGGCAGGTCGTAGGTAGTTCCTGAACTCCATGAAGTCCAAAGGCGTCATTGTTTCTAAGATCATTACTTGGTCGACCAGAACCTGTACAGACCAGACAGGGATGAGTATTGAGAACGTTATAACGTAATTACACATTACCTTCAGAATTAAAACGATTCTGTTAAGCCTTTTCAATATCTCCAGTGTCTGATGTTCTTTCAGCACATCACTGAATAAGTTTCTTACTGAGTCTAGCTCGAATATAATTTGCTTGAACCAAAGCTCGTACGCTGAAAGAGAAATATCATTATCATTCTGTGGTTTTTTCATATTTATTTGCCCATTTTTTGTATTTTGGCGAATAAATATTATTATTATTATTATTATTATTAACACGGACAATGCTTCAGTAGGTACATCTGACTAGTGTACGATGTGATACTTTTAAAACTTAAAACGTCTAAAATTACTCCAGTCAAAACAAGAATAAGGTTTGCAAAGCTGAAAATTGGCACAGACCATGATTATGAATATTATATCAAAACTCCTCATATATCCTTGGAGCGAAACCTGGTTTTATTTGTGTTGAAATGTTATAATGGCGCGTATGAGCCGTAGCAGAAGCTTAGATAATATAAATCTAAGAACGCATAAACAGGGAATCACAAAAAAGCAATTGGACAAGTTTACAGGATACTGCACGCTCTACAGTTTTGTTGTAAGCTATTTTTACTCGTTTCATTCCAGATAAATACAAAAGAACGGTAATTTTGGCATGTAACCTCCAATAGAAAATGTTGCGCTCCAAAGATGGATGGAAACTTTTGATATATTGACTTATAACATACTGAAGGCCTAAAGCGATTTTCAAATGGGTACGAATTTTTTTCAAAAATACGACTTTCCTTTCGTTCATTATGAGCACACCTTAAGCAAACTAGGATGTGTTTGAATGGTACGGATCAATACAAATAACTTAATTTTTGAGTTTTCAAACATTTCTGTTTTGGTTTGCTCATGGAATGAATTTTTAGATTAATCTCTGACCTGTATAAGTGGCATGTATTTCTATATATCATACTTTGTCAAGTATTTTGTCTGGGTTAACTATTCTTATCGCATTTTACTGTTTATTTTTAGACTAGGTATAACAAAAGTAACAGAATATTTTTCCAGGTGAGGTATTTTTGAAATTGATCAAGGTTAGATTGAACAATGAGTTCAGTGGTGAAATTGATGGCCCTTCGCTTTAAGGTTATTTCAAATTCAACTCTTGTTTTTTGAATGTAAATCCCGCTTTTTGACGGTGGGCAATCGGAAGATTCTACTTCTGATTGTATTAAAATCTAAGATTAAAGTCAAATGTATGATCCGGGGGAAAAGTGCTATACAAGCTTAGCAGGATGATTGATGAAACGTATCAGGGTCAGACATCTAGTAACTGTTACCAGGGATTCCAATATTGATCGTCGATTTGACGTTGAACCTCACCTTCAAGATGATACATGAGGATGTATTGAAACATACAATGTTTCATTCCCAGTGTCCAAGAGAGAGATTCTCAGTTAAAAGAAACAGTTTACCTTGAAATGACGTTTAGTCAAGATCTCTATTGAACTCTTTGTTCGGTGTTCTGGCCCTTTTTAAACATGCCTTACCTGTATAAATAGATAGCAGCTTCGCTGCTGTTTTGTTACACACTGTATGTCCCTGAGATATTCACTCATAATCTCCAAGACTACGTTTTTTGCCACTTTTAACCGCCTCAGAATTCAAACTCAGGAGCTCCAGGGAAATGGAAAAAAATTTTTTAATATGTAGGGGTTCCTATTAAACCCTTATTAATGAACGCCTATTTGAGACTCCAGGAGGATCAAAAATCAAGCTACGTATTTACTTTTTTGTGAAAATTTTACTATTACCATATCTTATGTCTGTTCTAAGTGTGTTATCTAATTTCAACTTTTTTCTGCCTTTCAGGGTTACCAGATGGTCAGGATTCGTCGGAAATGTCCTGACATTTCGCTCGATGTCCAGAGTCCCGACAAAATACAAATTGTCCCGGCAAATAACAAAACACAAAATTGTGACCAGCATAGGTCATAAATTTAAAAATAATCATATATTTTGCCTTAACGATCCCATTAAGCAATTTCTTAGATATTGTGAAAGGGTGTTCAGTTTATCAAATAAATTGTATACCAAAGATAGAAATAGAATGGCAATAGATTTAATGAAATCAGAACTGTCAATAATATGAAACTTTGATGAACATTTTAAAACATTTTTGAATATCTACTCTAAATGCACCAAATTGGTGGAAGCAGCGCACTCATGTAAAATACTTGTGACACGGTAGAAAGTAAGTAGGTTTTATTACATCATATTTTGATCTCAAAAAGGTTCATATGTAATCTCACAACTTAGCAAAAAAGTATTTTGTTGTAATAACGAAAATAACTTTTTATTTTGTAATATACTAAGTGACATATAAATCCGAACACCCAGTTTAAATGGTTTTATTTTAATAAAATTTTGTATAAGTACTTAATGAAGCATACTAAGCAAATGATAAAAATTTAAAAATGATTGCACTGCTTTAAAGCCCTTTGACCTTTAATAATGTGTGGATGCACCCTGATGTGCTACGCATTCTGCAACGCGCCTAGGCATGCTTCTGATCAGGTGGTCAATGTCCTCCTGTGGTATCTCATTCCAGGCAACCACCAACTCCTCTCGAAGTGCTTCTAGAGTCTGAGGAGGACGTTGCAAATTGAGCAATCTCCTACCCATCATATCCCACACGTGCTCAATTGGGGATAAGTCGGGAGATCTTGGTGGCCATGGTAACAATGTGACATCATAATGTTGAAAGAAGACTATTGTGACTCTTGCAACATGTGGTCGGGCATTATCTTGTTGGAAAGTTGGATCTGCCAGGGTGTCAAGATAGGGTAAAAGATGGGGTTCTAGAACTTCGTGGATATAATGCTGCGCGTTCATGTTACCTCTGATGAAGATTAAAGGTGACCTGGAACCATAAGCTATAGCACCCCAAACCATAACTCCAACAGTGTGATGAACATGTCTTTCAACAAAAAACTGTGTATTCCTCCTTTCACCACGTCGCCTTCTAACCCTGGCACGACCATCGTGCATGTCTAAACAAAATCGAGTCTCGTCACTAAAGACAATACTGTTCCATTCCTGATCCCAGAGTGACCACTCAAGGCGATTACGTCAGTGTTCTCGAGTTAAAGGGAGGACCCAGTGTGGCCGGTATGTAAACAAGCCAAAACTTCTCATTCGTCGGTAAACACTTCGCATGCCAATAGGTCTTCCGTGTTCTGCAAACCATTCATTTGTAATGGACCTGGTAGTGGAGAAACGGTCCCTTAAGGCCAATAATCTTAGGCGGCGATCTTCACGGTCTGTTGTTCTACGGCGGCGTCCAGTGCCCCTTGCTCTTTGCGTACGGCCTTCTCGAAGCCATGCCTGACAACACCTAACCACAGTGTCTACACTTCTTTGCACTTAACTGCAATTGCCCGAAAATAAAGTTCAGCTTCCCGAAGTCCCACTATACGGCCCCTATCAAACTCACTAAGTTGACGAAATCGTACAGGTCTCCGTACTCTAGGCATCGTAACCGATCGTAAAGGATGTCAAGAACCAAAATCCGCCAACGTTGATTCTTTACTGCGGCTGAAATATTCATTTTTAGAGCGTTAGTGAATTAAAAAAAAGCAGTATAAAAACCGGAATGTCCAACTGATAAGGCTGAAAATTTTTTCACTTGTTATTTACAGTAAGATAAATACATTCACCAACTTTTATTAAAATAAAACCATTTAAACTGGGTGTTCGGATTTATATGTCACTTAGTATATTTATCCCTTTTTGAAAGTCCGCCCAGATGTTTTGGTTCTTATCGGGTTACCCTATTTAAATAAATGGTTCATTCTGATTTGTTTGCCTTGTTCCCTTTAAGGAAATTAATACAAGGAAGATGCTTTAATTCGCTTATTTAAGCATTATAATTATTCTACAAATCCAAACCATCCAAAAACCAATTTGCAAGTGTACGAGACTCAAGTTGAATTGAAAAACTTCTTAAAGTCATTTAGATGGATTCCGCTATTGCGGTGCCAAAGGTATTAATTTGGAAAAGTTTCTTTAAACGTAGAAGTTTCGTAACACACTCTACGATCAGTTATTAAATTTCTTCTGGCAACTTGACTTGGTTTTCACACGACGAATAAGTCGAAAAGCTAAACGATTTATTTGATATGAAAATGATATTTTAAGCTAATAGTTCAAAGTTTTATGCGAAGGCGGACCTGCAGCTGCGATGACGTCACTCCTGTTATACCGGTTAGAACAAAAACAATGACATTTTTCTAGTTAAACTTCTAGGTTATTTCAAGATCTACGTTCGAATATGTATTAAAATCTTGCCTGCAATCGCCATATGAAGGTCAAATATGTGAGGCGGGGGAAAATTCCTAGCTCATCATAATTATTGATAAAAAACATCTTGTTAACAAATACAACAGGGTAAAAGGTAAATAGGTGTAAAACATTTTAGGAGGTGATAGTACAGCCCCTTTGCTATCGAAATTAGTACATAATACCATACCCTATATTCAAAGGTTGAAAAGTTATTGAAGATTTAAGATTTTTTTAAAAACAATCCATATTTCAGAGTAAAAAAGTCGAGAGAGAAAAAAGTTGGCGATTAAACATTTGTTTTTTATGGTTTTAGGTTATTATTTCAATAATTAAAAATTTAATTATCAGTAACCGAATTTTCTCACTAATAACCTTTCTTCTACCCATTTTGAAAACCTTATTAACTATTATAAATTAAAAAAGATTCGAAAACAATACCAAACAACGTATTTATTTTCATTCAAAAATGTTTAACTAAGAAAAACAAATAACGTTTTACAGTAAGTAAGGTGTTTTACAAAAAAATCAGTATCTATACAACAAAACGTACAAACAATTTAAATAATATCCTTGTTTCATAAGGAATCTAAATTGGTATGATAAGTGCACAAAAACTGTGTGAAACTAAACATAATGTATTGTAATACAACAATAGGGAGTAAATTTACCAATGGCTTGTCTCCTATTTTCACAACTCTCTAATTGATAAGAAAGTGTTTTTGTGAAAATAATGTAACTGTAAGCTATGGGATAGTTATTATTTTAAACTACGGTTAAGTTACACGATTAGATTATTTACACAGTTGTAATTGTACTACAGAATAATAAAAACTGACTAAAAGTTACTACAATTGGTAAGTAAAATACAATAATGAATTGAAGGTAAAATTCATTGCAATTGTTGTTCGAAATGACGCCCGCCGTTTCTTAAGCAAGCCCGTAGTTTTTTTCTCATGTTGGTACGCGTGATGCGGCCAGTTAGTTGTCCTCTGATAGTGTCAGCAGCAGCAATAATTCTTTCTTTCAACTGTGCAAGAGTGTCTATGGGCTCAGCGTACACCAGTGACTTCATGTGCCCCCATAAATAATAGTCACACGGTGTTAAATCTGGGCTCCTCGCTGGCCACGGTGTCGGTCCACCTCGGCCAATCCAGCGACAAGGATATTTCTCGTCCAGCCACTGTCTAACACCCAGACGGAAATGCGCGGGACAGCCATCGTGTTGGTAGATCATCTGCATCCTGATATTCAGAGGCAGGTCTTCGAGATACTTCCAGAGTTCGGATCTGAATAAGTTTTCATAGAATTCGCCATCCAGGTTGTCAGGCAAAAAAACTGATCCAATTAGATACGTATGAATGATTCCCATCCACACGTTTGCCGAAAATCTTCTTTGATGGGCTCTTGGCTTTGCCATGTGGGGATTTGCCTCTCGTGGGGCCCAATAATGTGAGTTGTGATAATTTGTTGTCCCCTCTCTGTCAAACTTAGACTCGTCGGTCTACAATATTTTAGTTAAATAGTCGTTTTCTTCTTGATCCCGATGAAGCATGTATCGACAAAAATCAATTCTTCTTGCGGGATCTCCTTCTTCTAATACTTGAACCAGTGTGTAATGGAAAGGGTAAAATCTCGCCGAATGCAAAACGAACCACACTTTCCACTGAGTTAAACCAAGCTGCTTTGCTATAACTCGTGTAGACGTCGTCGGGTCTCTGCCGTAGCATTCCAGTATTGCCTCTCGATCTTCGTCGTCAAACAACCGAGGTCTACCAGCATCATGACGTCTCTCATGAACCTGTCCACTTTCCTTGACGCGTTGGTACACAGAAGCAAATACTGGATGACTCGGTATTCACCGATTCGGAAAACGGTTTTCGTATTCTCGCCTGGCTTCAACGGAATTTCCATCACTTAAACCATAACAAAACAGAATATCAGCGTATTCTTCGTTACGGTAACTCGCCATTATTAAAACTGATCAAAAAAGTAAAAGTACGTCCTACCGCGTTAAAGGTTGATATTCTACTAACTAGCCTAAGCGTTAGTTCCCTTTCCTTGATCCGTCAGCTGTGTCAATTCATAACATACGCAGAGCTTGCTTCCGAGGAGCGACGACAGATTCCGAATACTTAAACCCGAATAACGGCACAGGGCACAAACTATAATAAAAAGGGTCGAACCATGAAAGGCTCGGTCCTTTCTAGCAAAGTAATATTGTTTTGTTAAATGGTTTACTTACTGATGTTATTATACCATTTTAGAAACCTAATGAAACGAGGAAGTTTTTGCAGTTATTTGTACATTTTCTTTATTATGATTTTTTTGAAAAAAAAGACTTCTTAATGTGAAAGTTGAAAATAAAAATTTTCATCTAACATTTAAATGAAAATAAATACGTTTTCAGTAGTGTTTTCATATGTTTTTTAATTTATGAGAATTATTAATTTAAATAATAACCTGAAACCACCAAAAAAAGAATGTTTAATCACCAACTTTTTTTATCTCAACTATTTTACTCTGTAATCTGGGTTGTTTTTTAAAAAAAATTAAATCTTCCATAACTTTTTAACCTTTGAATATAGGGTATGGTATTATATACTAATTTTGATAGCAAAGGAGCTATCACCTCCTAAAATATTTTACACCTATTTACCTGTAACCCTGTATATCAGTCGTGTCCTTAAATTCTACTTTAAACCCCACCTTCAAAGCCATTTGAAGGTCAACTGTTTATTTAATCGGGAACTATCCTCTTAAACACCCGCAATGGCAAAATTTAATGTCCTAATACTTTCTCATGTATGACTATGACCTTGAAGCTGCAGCCGACAAAAGTTTTCCTGAAAATGATGAGGAGCACCTCAAACATGTTGGAGAAAATTTAGTTTTCTTTTCGTTTTTCGACTACCACTTGATCGATTCTCCGAAACTAAAATTTCTCCTTAGCATAGACGTAACCTTGTGCCGAAACCTCATCAAAATCTGGCTAAGGCTCTCCACGTTATCACGGGTCCAAGAATGAGCAGACAGGCAAACGAAAATGAGTCATTTTTCCCAAATCACGTCATACAACATCTAAGAAACATACTATCAGATTTTCAAAAGTCATCGCGTTTACAGTACTTCCTCTTCAATTGGCGACGAACGTAGAACTCGAGCAGTGTTACATTTCACTTATTAAAGGTTTTTGATGAATTTAAGTGAAATTGGATGATGGTTCAAGCATTTGCAAGGTATTTTGTTGCTGTAGCAGCAATTGTGACAACTAAACCGCTTAATATTGAAAATGTTTAAGGTTAAAAAAACTTTTTTTGAGATAATATGATGTTTACTGTCACAAAGAGCAGGTAAATCCTAAATATCGTTGTCAACAAACATAAAGCACCCAAAAAAGTTTGATGATGATGAAGATGATTGAAAAATGAAAATACTATATAGTTTGGTGAATTGAATTATTAAGGGAATGTCAGGAAACATATACAGACAATTATAACTGAAGTAAAAGTATGAATGTTAGTGTAAGTAAAATATTATTGATTTTGATAATGATTTTTCATACCTACCATTTCGTGGATGGAGCATCTTAGTTGTTGTAAAATCCAATTTTTGAGTTCTTTTTTAAATGATCTAATTGATCTAAGTGCTTTTAATTACTCTGGTATGAAGTCATAGAATTTTGGTCCCAAGAAAAAAATAAATCGTTGTGTAATGGTTTTTGAATACACATTGAATTTTGATTGAATCTTGTTCTGTAATTATGAATGATGCGATTCAAGTACTTCGAATATTCAATATAATCTACTACACCCAGGACTAAACCACTATGAAAATGAATTTGTCTGCAATCTAATAGTCAAACCTCCATATACAGAGAATGACTTGGATAAATAACCTCCTTATGAAGGATCATTTTTAGAATTAATTTTTGAATTACATCAACCTTTTTGTAATTATTATTCATCCCCCCAGCCAAAATTAAAGTGAAGAAGTAAAGGACAAACAAGATATTTCTTATCCAGAATATCTCCGAGGAACCTGAATTTTGGAATAATACATCTCAGTCTCTTCACCAGGTACTCTGTATGGGCATCCCATTTTAAGTGTGTGTCCAAAATTACGCCTATGTATTTTATTTTATCGATTGACTGAATCTCCTTGAGACCACTGCTTGTATGAAACTCAAGCTTACTAAATTGTGGTGAGAGCCTGTCGTCACAAGAAAATACTATACGAGCATAGTGTGTTTTGTTGTAATTAATTGTGATAGTTCTTTCAGAAAATAAATTTATAGCGTTTTGAAATCATTTTCGATTTTGGTTTTTAGTGTATGCCACTGGTTACTATCATAGAGAATAGTTGTGTCATCCGCAAAACCGATATCTCCCGCACTACTTATTTTGAACAATTGATAAATAGATTAAATAAAATGGGTCCTAATACCGAACCTTGGGACTATTATTAGTTTTGACGCACTGTGTTCAATTTGACAAATAATTTTTGATAAGTTTGTGTGTTACGCCACGGAAACCTAAATTTTCTAAACTTGTTAAAAGCGATTTATGAGTAATAGAGCCGAATGCCTTTGCAAAGTCGCAAAACCGCATGCAGTTGGGTTGCCAATATCGAGATACTGATATATAGTATGTTACTTGTTACTTCTACAATAGCATCTTGAGTAGATTTGCCTTCTTAAATTATATTTTTTTTTTTTTGTAAATTTGGTGAATCACTTTTTTAACACTTTTTAAAATATTTTAGAAAAATTGCTCAAGATGGAAATTGGTCGATAGCTGTGGATTTTTCTCTTTCTCCAGATTTAACTAATTCTTTTTTTAACACAGCATTTTTTAAACATATATAGGGATATTCCTTTATTCATACAAGAATTTATCGAATATGACAGTATGCCGCAGATGTTGGAATTTACCCTCTTGAGAGTATTTTAATTCATTAATTATTGTCTTTATTTCGTGCGTATCGGTCGGTTCTAGATATAACGAGTTATATAATCAAGTCCTATTATAATTTAATTTTTCCGCATTTTTTATGCTTTCTGCCAACTTTTTGCCGATTTTTGAAAAGTATTCACGAAATTAATTAACTACATTACTCATTAGTTCTCAATTTTTTTTGGTGTTTTATTTTTTGTCTTGTGTTTTATTGATAAATTTTGTAAATTATCAAACTCTTCCTGGAAAATTATTATTTTAGCCTCTTTAATTATTTTTGTCGTTCCGGTTCCATAGGATTTAAATTCAGTCAAAAGATTCAAATCATAAGGATTTTTTTTGTTTTCTTATATAATTCAATTTTTTTGTTGATGTTTGTCTTTTTATTAGCGTGCGTGGAATCTTTACTGTTTTAGTGCATTCAGCAATATGTCTTTCAATGCTCAATATAAGAATAACAAATACATTTTCGATATTGGGTTCCTTATATACTGCAATCCAACTTTCATTGAGCAAGTTATTGTTTAGTTTTTCATAATCAATGCAAATTGGACATCGCACGTCAATATTTGCTCATCTTTTAACATAAAACCGAGTTGAATAATCTCACTAGGTACTGTGGTCGGAGAATCGTACTCACTGCAGCAAAAATACAAAATTCAGAGAACTAGAATTGCCAATAAACCCTTTTAATTCATCTCAAGTCATCAATTACCCTTAATTTCCATCATGGTCATCTGTTTTTCTCGGCCAAAAATTAGTACGAGTTGACTATTTAGGACTAGGAAACGGGCAGAAAAATTTTTGTTGGTCAGTATTATCAACCAATCATCTGCTGGGTAAACAGAACCGATCCTAAGATGTTGCAAGTTCCACACCGCACAACAAACCATCTATTCCGATGTTCCAATTCGATTAATTTTCCGACAGGTAACTCGACTCCATTTTCAACCTAACTTTTATTTTTAATTGAACAGTACTAATCCATCGATTAATGTCAAAATGATCCGATTACGGATGTAGCATGTGTAAATACCTTGATGTGTGATTATAAACAGATGTTCATCGTGTACGGGGTTTTTATTCTCAACTCCAAGCATTCTCTGGGCTCCTAGAATTTTGTCAAGCATCAGGTATTCGCCATATAGCATTCCAGCTTCTTCACCCAGTTGTTCTCCATCCTGTGCCAGGTCACTGAAAAACCAAACAAATTCATTTTTTCAACGACCTTCTACTGTTAGTAATATAGCTTTCATTCGTCCGTCCACAGACGCCCAACTACGAAAAGCTGTTTCGTGCTACTGAGCAACTTTCCTATATCAACGATATAAGATCTATTAATAAAAAAGCTGCACAAAGTTCTACCTATTATCAAAATCGATACAGTTCCAATCCACGAATTCAGACAAGGTGGAAGGAGCAAGCCAAAATCTCAGTTTCTAGTCAGTATGAAAGTGCATATTGCAAGTGGACTCGACATAAGTTAATTAATTAAATTTTTATCTTAGTCTTATTTTTTGAAAGTGCGAGTATTTGCGGGTAATTTCAGTGTTTGACGTTGTTAGGACATGATACTTCTTAACCCCCAATGAAGGTAAATCTTTCCACCTTTAGGTATTATTATTATTATTATGTTGTCACAACGTTGTCACTTTGGTAGGCAATGATAGTCATATGAGTCAAAAGTATGCACTGAAACTACTAATACCACTGACGTCGTAATGTGTACGGGAGAGAAGCGTGCAATATGTGTGTTAGAAAGAGATAGAAGCACCCCGTTGCCTAGCAACCCTAGATGCCATCAACGCACTCTTTTTAACATACATGTTGCATGCTTCTCCTGACTCCTTCTAATCTATTCGGAGAGGTAAATTCTGCTAATATATTACCACATTATGAGTAATATTTTATTTGACGTAATTTGAAACTGTCCCTGTATGATGATCTTCGAAATGAGGCCAATGTCCTTTGAAGCCCTATAGCTATTGGTAGTATGTTCTTTCAATTTTCCGCATGACACGGTTTCGTGCAAGCCAACAGGGCATAAATGAATCGTGTTTCACTTTATACCTTTCCAATCACTCTCGCGGCGTTGACGTATTTGGAATCCCAAGAACGTATCAGGATATTTGGTCAGCTCCGATTAGATAAAGTCATCTAGATCTCTTCAATAAATTAATGTTCTGCCAAATAATTTCATCAAGTCGTCTCACGCAATTGCGGACAAATGGATTTTGTATAAACATCATGTATAGTATCTCAGGGTAGAAGGATTTTCATGCCGGCAAACAATAATCAGCGAAAAAAGCATTGTATATATTTTTTTAATAATCGAGTACAACTTTCGTACGCCTTGGTATTATTTGCTTGAGGAAAAGGAACTAAAATAGATGAGATTCCTCTTTCCACATAATATTTTCTTATTCGCAGAACGCCTATGCGTTAGTTGACCCCTGAATAACTACAGCCCTAATGTTTCGGATTGGATTTGGATTTGGCACTTCCCAACGAAGCAATTTGATATTACATACTATAGGGTTCGACATATTTTCAAATTGTTGAGATATTAGACAATCTATCGACCAAATCACTCAACTTTGATGGCTCGCGCCTCCGCAGCTGTAATCGCCAAATCTGCAGTAAAATTAAGGTATTTCCATTCTATAAGCATATAAATAAGGAGCATACTGTTGACTACAATTTTTGTAATTAACATTCTAAAATATCATGCCTAGTAACGATGTTATCGACCCAGCCCACACTAAAAGCTCACTCTGTATGTCTCAAATCTTCCTAAAAGGACGCGTAGAATTACTGGGTCTAGTAGTTTATAAATATACTCCCGCCAAAAAATGCTTTATACCCTCCCCCACCCCCTACAACTCGCCACTCCCAATTTGTTACCCTTAAAGTTTTTTTCTAAAAATGATCAGGATCCTCTGAAACATCTAAAAACGGAGCTTAAGGGATTTTTTTATGGCTACCGCCACCACTGGATCAATTTTCAAACACTAAAACCTGCGTTGAGCTTTCCAAGTTATAGACAGACCAAGTATTAACGGACAGACAGACCGACAGAAATGAGTGACATGGTTTTTCGTAATGTAGATATCATATAACATCCAAAAACATAATATCTCATTTTCAAAATTTTACGCAATTACAATGTGGCGTGAGAGGTAAAAATAAACGTCACCAAAGGTTCTTGATGAGATACTTTTTTTTCAGAACCACCTGTCCGATATGATCATGGTTCTCAAGAAATCTTATCAGATCAATCTTTTAAATTTGATTTTTCCCTTTGTTAAGGATATACTATGTGATTTTAATGCTGACTTGAGCTTGAGTGATGTATGGAAATAGACATTACAGATATACTTTTTCATATCATATATAGTCCACATCGTAATTCAACAATAAAATCCAATATTGATTGCAATAAAATATACGCAACACGAAATTATCACTGTGTTTCCAAATACCACGATACCAAATGTATAAATGTTATGAAACAACTGATAAAATGGCAAATATGTACGAACATATTAGCATAACATAGCATCAAATAAAATGTGTCGAATATTATACTATTTTTCATCGGTAATTGTATCATAGCTCATTTATTTTCTAGATATAAACAAAAATAATTAGGCATGTGAAATTTCAAAGTTTAATGGACACAAACGTGTAGAATTTTTTTCCAAAAAAAAATATCTTTAGATAAAATATATGCTTCGCAGTTGGAGGTAAACTTATTTGTTTCTTGAAATATGAATAAAAATTTAGAAATACGATAGAGCGGTAGTGCATGGAGTAAAATTTTTTAATCTGTGAGAGTATATTAATATTCCAATTATAGAGAACTAAATATTTATAACAGTATTTATAAAATATAAATAAAGCATTTTTTGTCATTTTTAAATTTCATGTTTGTACCTCAAGAACAAAGAAGTTATTTTACTCAAAAAGGAACGATATATGTTAGGCTGTTGAGGCCCTAATAGGAATTAGAGCTATATTTTTAAGCATAGCATGTCTTCAATGTTACGCAAAGGATTAAGAAATATCTCAAAACACGTGTTTGTATATTTTTTCAATACCATATTATTGTTGTTCGCGGAATAAGAATTTCATGTACGAGCCAGTGCTTTTTTAAAAAATACAATTCAGTTTTATATCGCCTGAGTTCCTGTCTATTTTAGGGGCGTGATGTAAAACATATTTCCCAGAGTTAAAATTAATTTGTGGACATACATTGGTGGTCAAATTAAATATCTTAGCATTTCATCAATTTGTACTCGTTTTGGGTGGAGACAAAAAATCCTCTAAGCATGTTCAACATGTGTATACGTGTAAAAGTCAATCTACTAATCTCAAACTTTTTGTTTACTTATTCAATACATTTTGAAAATCCGTATCATTTAGGTGGAAAAAGTTTAGTACTCACGAGTTTCTGCTGTACGGACAACTCATGGCTTCACCCACACAGGTGGTGTCGGAACTCTTTTCTACTTCCGACTAAACTAAGTATAAAACGGTGTAGGGACCCTCGATCGACAGTGGCTAATAGGCTTGGCTTAATACCGTATAGAAAAATTCCTATACATTTCAAAATAATATCGTATTACTGACTTGACGTCTTGATTTACTTGGATATCTCTCTTTTCTCGATTGAATTATGCAATGTAACTGTAATCTACCAGAATTACATGTATTTTGTGGTTATAATTTTATCACTGGCGTGGACTACGGGGCTCGAAATGTATTAGCATAGATTGGAGCAGCCGTGAAGGGGAATTCCAAGTACCGAGGTACCGCGGCTACTCTAAAGGGGTTAAAGATCAGATGTTTAAGCTGCTGTTAGTAAAAACAAATGAAATTCGAGATATCAGAACCATAAACATTGCATAACAATTAATCGTTATGTTACAATAGTTCTGGGTAGATTTTGGCGTGTTATTTCGGGAAAACGGACGAGAGTGACAGACACGTCGCATTAAAGAACGTTAGAGATTAGATAATCTAATGCTCGCTTGTCGCTTGGAGGACCGGACGCTCTTTTTAAGCCAGGAAGTGCCTACCCGAGGCTGCCTTGTGTTTTTCTGGTTTTGTATGGTGCCATCTAAAAATTGCAATGTTGGCTTCGCGTAATCTACGCATGCTGCAAGACCTTTCAGACTATATTGTAGTAACACACTGCATAGGAATATAGAAATGAACGAAGAAAACTACGGAAACCCCCCTAACAGGGAGTTAAAGGTGTCGACGGCGAAGGCGGGGCTATCTCGTAGGTACACTGCGCAAGAAATGAATTTTGAGTTATGCGCATATGGGATATCTCTATCGAATGTACACTGCGCAGAAAATGAGGTTGAGGTTCCACTCATGTGGCATCTCTATCTGTTTCTGTCATTATGACTGTAAATCATGAAGCAGGCGCTCTACGCCATGTTCTGTTCATTTGAGACAGGATAAATGTATCCTTTACGAAGCTTAACGTTCTATGTCTATAACGTGTTTACCGAAAAGGAAGAAAGCAGTATAACACATCGAACGCCCCTGCTAACGCGGCATCGGTTTGAATTGACAAAGTCGACGCGCAGGCATCCCGCCATATTCAAAAAGAGAGAGAATACTCTTCGTGGAAAGAACAAACGAGACAGATAAATATAATATATTGTAAAAAGTGTTAATTGTACCAGGACAACTCACGAGTGTGTAGGTGTCTAGTATGTGTAAAATTATGGAGTCCTCATTGACACGGGGTTGACCTGGCAGAAACATACTAATATTTGGAAAACTAAGTCCCAAATTACGTTTTGGAAGCTTTATCCTTTGTTGTGCAAAAATTCAAAATGTACAGACCATGAAAAATTGTAGTAAATATCTCTGGTGCCAACTTGAAAAAAGTGAAGCTTTTTGCCGCAGATGCTATATATTCTAAGTCATTATTATTTTCTCTTTCCCTTGTAAGCTACCCTGAAAACAGTTAACTTAAGCTAGGTGTGTATGCCACGGCGGTCTTCTGTCATAATTACGTGCCTATCAACGACCGCTGCCACAGCGTAAATGAATTTTGAAGGCAAGTGTGGAGCGGTCGCATACGCTGTTAAGTTTGATCGGCAAGATTCGGTTGCATGAAATGGTCATAAAACCTGCAATTACCTACGCAAACGCGGCTTTGTGCTTTCTGGTCAAGACGTACATACAGAGACAGCAAGTCCTGCAAAACACAAATCTACGCACAATCTCGAACTTCCCGTGGTACGTGGTCAAATCATACCGTTCACAGAGATCTTGACATCCCATATCTAAGGGATTACGTAAAACTACAGGAGTTATCATCAAGCGGAATGATGCATTATTCAGTAGACTACACAGTCAATGCTTAACCGTTTTCTACTTCACACGGCTTATTTCTTTTCTTTGTTCTATTTCTTCCTTCTTTTCTTTCCTTCTTTCCCTTTTGCCCTTGAACTTGTTTGGTATCTGGGTAGCCAGACCTGACAGACTAACAGACCAACGAGACTTTTAACTAAGAGCCATGGTCTACCATACCGCTCTGAACAATGACGATTAGTCAGTTTAAAAATAGTGAAATAGTGTCAGGCAAGACTTGTGTCCGAAATTAAGTGGATATAGCGTTATTTCGTGCACGAAAGAATTGTGTGGAGGGGCGGAGAGATCAGAGTTTTACAACACCAGAAGGTATTTTTTTATTGTGCATTGCTGTGCCTATGGGAGGGAAAGAGATTGCAACGCCAGCGGTCAACAGCTAAGTAATTCAACGGCAGAAGCGGCTCGGAATGTGGTTGTCAGTAACCCCTACGGTTGAAATCGATCGTGATAATGTTTGATTGAAAGAGACCGTTGAACGTCCACAGTTCAAATGGCAAAGTTTAAATTTGTATAGTTTATCCGTGACATCCGTTGATCCACTACTAACTTTACACCCTGTATAACAGCAACGAATTAAAGTGTAACAGAAAATTTGCATTTTTTCTGTTATCCCAGTAACAATATCCTTTTGAATTTTGAGCAGAAGTGTTGTGCCGATTTACAAATTCTCATAATCAGTGGCTAAGAAATCATTTCCTCAGTTTTTGAGATATCTGAGTAACCGCAAACAACTTCTCTTCAAAATTCAGAAGTAATTGGAAGCAACTAGTGTGTATAATACATCGTACTGCTAATAGGGGCGCAAGTGAGGTTCAATAGTGTTGTTTTCTGTAAAGAAATTATTACTTATGGTGGCTTAGTTGTCGTCACTTCCTTTAGTTGGCGTTGCCACACGTAATACTAGAAAGAAATTGAGAGTGTACTGTCTGTAGTGATCTGGGATTGTACTTGAAGGTCACCGTTGCAACCGAAACGCCGTACAATATAGAGGAATTTTAAATATATGTGGTTTGATCTGGCCAGACAAACCTGGGGAATTATCAACATTGAAGCCACAGGATAAGTTTCAGACGTTACATTAACGTCATTTTACTATGTAATAGGAACATTATTGCGGCTCAAACAGGCACACCCATATTGATCTTGCGGGATGAAGTGCTCCAATTACGACGGTTAGATTATGAAGAGAGAAAGTCAGTCATCTAAACAGCAAAGCTTGCCTAGAAGGTCATAAGACAAAAGCTTAAATAGGACCGTAAACTGTTGTAATATCTGAGTAATGACGCGATTCTCACATTCACATGAGAAAGCTTACGCCACGTTTATGACGTAGCTATGTGATGTCGGCTAGGAGGTGTACAGTTGATCGACAGACTTCTAGTCAATGTAACGTCTAAAACTTATCCTCTAGTTTTCATGTTGATATTCCCCAATTTTTGTATGTCCGAATCAAACCACATGTTTAAAATTCGTCTCTATTGTACGACGTTTCAATCCCAACTATGACCATACAAGAACAATTCACACCTTTTTACTAATATATTTTATCTGTCTTTCAGGTAACACCTCTTTGTTTTTTCCTTTTATTTTCACCCTCATATTCAGTACGTTACTACAATAGTCTGAAAAGTTCTTCTGTACCCGTGATCTGTGATTGTACTTGAAGAAGGTCACCGTTGGGATCAAAACATTGTAAAATAAAAAGGAATTTTAAATGTATGTGGTTTGATTCGGCCAGACAAACATGAGGAATTATAAACATGGAAATCACTCGGATAAGTTTTAGATGTTACATTAACGTCGTTTTAATATGTAACAGGAACATGATTGAGGCTCAAAGAGGCACACCCATATTGATCTTGCCGGATGAATTGCGACGGTTAGTTTATAAACAGAGAAAGTCATTCATCTCAACAGCAAATATTGGCTAGGAGGTCATAAGACAAAATTTTACATAGGACCTAAAACTGTTGTAATGACGCGATTCTCACCTTCACGTGAGTAAGTTTACGTCCCGTTCACGCTGTGGCTATATGACCTCATCTAGGAGGTGTACATTTCGTTTTCAATGTAACATCTAAAATGTATCCTGTCCTATCAAAGCACATGTTTAAAATTCTTCTCTGTTGTGCGATATTTCAGTCCAAACTGTGATCTTATTCAAAACACTTTTTTGCCAATATATTTTATCTGTCTTCCAGAGCCGCTTTCCAGTGCCTTTCAATTGAGAGTTGTATGCACCCGACTTGAAGTGGCACGCTCCCGAACTGCTCTAGCAAATGTGCATGGGAACGCGACGATAGAAACCTCAGCTGTTTGTGTCACAATGTAAACACATTTTGCCTTTATTTTCAGAAGCATTGACACACTATCCAATTGATGCCTGGTGATGCTTTTAGAATGATGGCGAAACACCTCAGAGGTCTGCATATTTATTGTAAAACTTCTTAATAAATGTATCTAAGTCATATTTTAGTGTAGACATTTAAAATTATTTTCAAAGTGTCTAGTTATAGATGAAGCCAACTACAAGCTGCTATGAACATGCATTCTTGCACTCTCTTGTGATCTTTATTTAGGAACATCTCAAATGTACGTTGTGTCTCTGTATCAAAACACCAGTTTTTTACCATCCTCCATTGTCTGGTATCAGTTTAATGTGAGATTAATGCAAAAAAAAAACACAAACGATGAAAAAACATGACCTAACAATCTTGACACATTGTCATTTTCGTTATCCATACTAGTTTGGAGCGTATAACACCGAATAAAAAGCTGGTACATGAGGGGGCAGGGGATTGCAAAAATGAGTAGCTCAGGTGCATGAACACTCTTGAACACTAGAACCGTATTGACAGGTGATGGGTAGCTCCGAGTTACTCCGAGTATCACAAACGAGGCACTGGAAAGCATCTCATTTGTTTTTCCTTTTATTTTCACACTCCTATTCAGTGTATTACTACAACAATAGTCTGAAAGGATCTTCTCCCTTTTTCGTTGTGTAGTATTGTTTGTTAGCATTCAATAATCCACACTCACAATATGGTAATGTCAAACCTAATCAGTGAGCTGTGATAAAGTATGGGTACGCCAATGTCTTTAATTTATATAAATTCTAGTAAACAAGTATATATGTGAGTAATTTAGACTAAACGATATCGAGATTCAAAATATGTACCCCTGGGAGAATAAAATTACAATTATCTTTGATTGGCGGTCAGCTTTTTTTCTTTATGAATGCGCGTGTAAGGTCAAACAAGGGATATGGGTTTCAAAGGCGCTGGCGCTAAGCAACCACATACCTTATTTGATTGACCTAATTATGATGAAAATTGCATCATTTTGCCCTGCAGATTTAATGATGAGTTATCAGATTACAGAATTACAGTACGAGAGAGAAGTGCGTACTTGCAATACGTGTGTTAGAAAAAGAGATAGAAACACATCGGTGCACCATCGGCGCACTCTTTCTAATAAACATATTGGACGCTTCTCGAGCTTCTCTCTCGTACACAGCCAAATTTGTTCAGGCCAACTGACATTGATGCTTGTTTCTAAAACTGAGCCAGAAAATGCATTTTAGCCAAACAACAGGAGAGTTTTAGGAGTTACAAGTTAAAATAAATCAGTTTGATTCCGTGATTCTCCATAGTTTGTAAAAAGGAAATTGGGAAACTGAACCAACACAATTTTCCTATTTTATTGGTTCCAGCATTGATGTTTTAATCAAAATTCGAAAAAGGCTCCTATAAAAAATACTACAGAAAATTCTACATTATTGCACTACCTTTTGATTGTGCACTATGCGAACACAGCATTTCTATATCGCTAATATCACTAACTTGATGAGCGCTTAAGATTTCTCAGATCGAGAGAACCTTTGCTAAGCGTGGCAACGTTGTTATAAAGGGTGTCCCAAAATTAACGCAAGATTTGAATTAAATAGAAAATGCCATTTTTAGTCTTTTAATAGTTATATTTTTATTGACTCATAAAGTACATAGGATAGGGTTATGTATGGAATAACACATCGGACAAATGGCCTCCACGGCTTTGCATGCACATGCGCACTCTTTTGTCGAAATTTTCCATGACCCTTCTGCATAAATGTGGCTGAATTTCGTTGATGCAGCGTTGAATCTCCTCCTTTAATGCACGGGTGGTTGTGGGCTTGTTGACATAGACTTGTGATTTCAAATAACCCCATAAAAAGAAGTCTAATGGTGTTAAATCACACGATCTAGGAGGCCAATTTTGATCACCGAAACGAGAGAGTACACGACCGGGAAATGTCTCATGCAGTAATTGAATTGTTTCACGGGCTGTATGACATGTGGCACCGTCTTGTTGAAACCACATATTGGGTACATCAATATCATTCAATTTTGGCAGAAAGAACTGTGTAATCATGTCGCGATATCGAGCACCAGTAACAGTCACTGCTTGACCAGCATCATTTTCAAAAAAATATGGCCCAATTATGCCTCCAGCCCAAAATCCACACCAGACAGTCACGCGTTGTGGGTGCATTTCTTTTTCGACAATCACACGTGGGTTCTCCGAACCCCAAATGCGGCAATTTTGGCGATTGACAAAGCCATCAAGATGAAAATGTGCTTCATCGCTTAGGATGATTTTGCTTGAAAAATCAGGGTCCATTTGTTGATGTTCAATAATCCATTCAACAAACTCTCTTCTCTCTGCATGGTCATTAAGCTTCAATTGTTGTGTTAATTGAAGTTTGTAAGCATGAAGACACAGATCTTTGGTGAGTATACGCTGTAGAGAGGTTCTTGACATTTGCAATTCTTGTCCACGACGTCGAATTGAGGTTCCTGGATTGTCCGCAACACTCTCACGCACTGCTTCGATATTCACATTTGAACGGCTTGTTTTTGGACGACCAGTGTGTTTGGCGTCTCCAACGGATCCAGTCTCCATGAATTTTTCAATTAATCTCTTCACAGTTGACGAAGTTAAAACACTATTCCGGCCATATTTTGTATGAAATTTTCGAACTGCAGCCGCCAAGCTTTCACTATTTTTGAAATATTCTTTAATAATGAAGACACGTTGTTCTATCGTGTAACGCTCCATTTTTCATAACCCTATACTGTTAGCTGTCAAATTGCTTTTTTTCAGGGTTGCCAACACTTCACTGCACAAATGGCGGCAAATTCAAATCTTGCGTTAATTTTGGGACACCCTTTATAAGTAACCAGCGACACCTACTGGCAAAATATGTAATATAACTTCGTGATCTTCCGCTTTTCTACACCAGATAGCGCACCGCATTCGTGTCGCGCCATCTATGAATCGATAGCTTAACTACGCTGGTTAAGCTAGCGACTAGTAAGTGGCGCTTCCATGCTTTTGCGTCATCTATCAATTAAAGGTGTAACTGATTAGTTTGACTTTTGATCACTAGATAGCAGGTACCTAAACTGCTACGCCATCTACCAAATGCCTGTCATTTGTCATTGACTTGACACCTCATTTGACATATTTTGCAACTTTGTGGACGTATTTATGTTATTAAGTTTTTTATTTATTTTTTTGTCAATTTCTATCGTTGCCCCATTTTACATATAATCCCAATGCCATTAGGATTGAAAGAAACAAGGTTGGAATGTGTTTAAGCAATATGCATAGAATCTTCAGGCCAACTATGCCATCAAGCTATGATTAGTGGTTTCCAACATTAGAAATGAAATGATATTCCTTCTGAATGAGATTCACTTTTGGACCACCCAGGAGGATGTGATAATCAAACATTCTGACTATGTTTCATTCAAGTAAGTACTATAAATTATTCTTACATAACTAACATTTGAACCAGATTGCATTGGCTCGTTTAGGCTGCTGATGTGACATTTATTTGATGCGACAGACCATAACTCAATTTTGAGAAGGAATTTATGTAAAACAGAAAATAATAGGCATTCAGAATTCTCTCTCCATACAGCAGTGAGCATAATTTTGCCTCTACCGAATGTATGTCGCAATAAGGGCCCATTTTTGTTCACTGAGTTACCCTTGCCCAAGCCTTGAAGCCACATGTTAATGGTTACAGGGAACCCAAAATATGTATACTTGAATAATACTCAATACATTTGTTTACTAGACACAAACTGATTTTGCAAAAACAAAAGAGCAATGATTTATATAATACAAGTGTGTTTTCAGATACTATGCCAAGAAGGAACCAGATGACTCAATCCCATTTCATGCCAAAAAGGAATATTGTGAACAGAGAGGACTCTTATGGATTCCTCCAAATAAAAGACCTCAAAGATTACGAGATAGTATAAGGGAATTTGAAGAATACCTTATACACAATAAAATAATATACTTTTTATGGGAAGATAGTAAACTGAAGCTCCTTTTTTCAAATGGGTTGATAATTACTATTAATATTAATAGCAAAACAGGAGATGTAACAAATATTGCATTTGATAAGCAACTATTATCAAAGCTTCAAGTTAACATTATTTGTGATGGTGAGTACTCAAAATGTATTACTTCAATAATAAATGCTAATCCCAACAAAACTCCACATTATGTTTACTCAAATAATTTTGCATACATATTTCTGACACTTGCGATTATGTATACCACAACTCTCTAGGATCAAAGTTCAAAACTAGTTTATTCTACAGTTGTACACATTGGAAAGCAAACCTGCCAATCTAGCAGACCTAAGTAGGAGACAGATCATTAACCCTTATGACATAAAGTTTTCTATCCTTGATATAGCAGTAATTTATTTTTTAAATTTTATCAAACATCCAAAACAAACAACAACAATCTCCATTATTAGCTTGCCCAGTAGTATTGATGCCTATGGTCAGAGCATTCATGTCCACAACAGTAGACAATATACATCAATATTTATTTGAGGAAGACAGTGCCTTTACTGGAATAGCCAGTTAACATGGTGGTAATGTTGTGTATAAGTTCCATCAAAATTCAAACACTTCATGAGTTATAGGCTAGCCAAAGTTGACTGCTTGTTTTATTTATCTTTACGGATTTCATTGTAATTATTTTTTCTGCTAGGTACAATAATAGACAACCAAGTAATATCAATCTGCAATGATGGTCACCTATTAGGCTTTGGGGGATTATGGAAAGATGGATGGATCCTGGAAGGAGGTCCCAGGAGAAAACTCAACTATTATGGAGAATGGTTAGCAGTATGGGGGAAGGCTGGTGCAGATCACCCACAACCTTGGAGCCCTCTGGCAAAAGATCACCAAAGCGCCAATCTTCATTTGTACTGGATTGGTCCCAGGGAACCTGAATTGTTAGCCTACAAAAAGACTGAAGGAGATCCTTTGCAAGTTGTGGTTAGCAAAAGGTGTAGCAGAACTCTGATTCTCATAGAGCAGAAAGTTACTTTGAGAGGTAGGCAATATTCTTTTCCAAAAACCTCCTTATAATGACCTCTTAGCCCTACAACCACACCCATAATCAGGGTTGTTATGTTTCAATCAAACAAGTTTTAAACACTTTTTTTTGTTGTATGTGGATTATTCAAGTTTTTTTTTATATTTTTTAATGATTAAAATTGATTTTATTTTGCAAAACGAAACTAAAAGGGCCATAGCTTAAAACACATAGGTACTAAAGTAGTAGTAAACTACATTGAAGTCTAATACTAGTACACTACAAGCAGCAGAATAATCATATAATAGGACTATGAATTTACTTGTACGGGTGGTCCATCTATCGTTTTTTTTTTTGAGTTACTGGTTTTTTGCGATATGTCAAGACTTATTTCGCATCTGATTTGACAGAACATCAGTCATATCATTCCGATTAATGAAAATGGTTATGTATTCGCTTGAACAAAGCTGGGAAATATTAAAACAATATTTCGAAAGTGGTGGTAATGTTGCAGATTGTGTCCGAAAATTACGTGCAAAAATGGGAAGAAATGAAGCACCGTCAGCACCGTATGTGAGGTATTTTGTGCAAAAAGTTCGTGAAACTGGTCTTCTTATTGACAAACCAACACGTGAAAGACCGAAAATGGTGCGTACACCCGAGAATATCGATGCTGTAGCTGAGAGTGTGGCAGAGTCTCCAAGCACATCAACGCGCCAACGTTCTCAACAATTGAACATTTCACGCACATCATTAGGTCGAATTTTGCATAAAGACCTTGGTATGAAGGCGTACAAAGTTCAATTGGTTCAGCAATTGAAGCCAACTGACCATCCAATGCGTTTTCGCTTCGCTTCATGGGCCTGCAATCAACTTGATGAAGATGTTGATTTTGGTCGAAAAATCATCTTTTCAGATGAAGCGCATTTTTATCTTGGCGGCTATGTTAATAAGCAAAACTGCCGCATTTGGGGTTCAGAGAACCCACACGCAATCGAAGAAAAGCCAATGCATCCAGAACGAGTGACTGTTTGGTGCGGATTTTGGGCTGGTGGCATCATTGGCCCATTTTTCTTTGAAAATGAAGCCGGAGCAGCAGTTACTGTGAATGGTGAGCGTTACCGTACCATGATAAATGAATTTTTCTTTCCACAAATTTAAGATATTGATGTCGGTAACATCTGGTTTCAACAAGACGGTGCTCCGTGTCACACAGCAAACGCTAGGATTGCTCTTCTGCGAAGTGTTTTCGGTGATCGCATTATCAGCCGAAATTCTGATGTTGTTTGGCCGCCTCGGAGCTGTGATTTGACCCCATTAGATTATTATTTATGGGGTGCCATTAAAGACCAATGTTATGCCAAGAAACCAGCAACAATTGGCGAAATAAAAGAGAACATACGCGCTGCCATTGCTGAAATACAGCCACATACGATTGAAAATGTGGTCAAAAATTGGACTGACCGTATGGGCTACTGCAAAGCCAGCCGCGGCAGTCATTTAAATGAAGTTGTATTCCATACTTAATCGGAAGGATTGTACTTTCAAATAAAAAAAAAATTTGGAAAAATATTTAGTAGTTTTTTTTTATAGCATTTTTAAAAAAAAAATTTAAATGGACCACCCTTTATAATATCATTAAATAAGTTACTTAACAAATTTCTATAAAAGTATGCAACCCATCTTATTTAACATAAAATCCTTAAATCGATATTTTTAAAATATAAAATCATGGAAAATGTACATAGAATAAATTTTTAGTTTTCACTACTTTTTACAGAAACTCCAAGTAAAAAAATGTAACTTATTCACAATTCTCCAAGCTACTTATCTTTGAGGAAATAGGTTCAGTAGAAACATCACCATTGTCGGTATCAGAACTCTCTGATATATAAATATTTTGTTTTTCTAACAAACTTCCTTGTTTAACTTGTTTACAATTTTTAATATGCTTGCACATTCTAGCCACCAGTGGCACTATATCCATATTGCAGGTTAAACATTTTGCTCTTTTATTTATTTTCAAGCCAGCTTTGGCATCAGTCTCGTTAAAATATTTCCAGACGTGATCCTTTCTCCTCCCTGTCATTGCCTTTCTTTTTTTGCCTATCTTTAATGCACAAAAAACAAAACACATCGCCACGCTACGACTTCGTACCACATTTGACTGCTGAAGATCGAAAAATTACCCAAAGGCAAACGGTAAATCCCAGGCGTCCGCACGGTAGTTTCCCGACGTCCGCTTTTAAATTAGAGATGTGCTCTGATAGAGCTGGATCAAAAATAGTAGTAACACTTTAAAGGAACTTCATTAACATTGCTAGATTATATAGGCAATAGTTTTTTAATGTTTACTGTTTTAAACTTGTATTAACAGTGTTTTAAACATGTTTTTTTTTCAGCTAAATTTGAATGTTTTAAACAAAAAAAACATGATTTTTGTTTTTTTTAACATGTTGTTTTCAACCCTGCCCATAATAAAATTAAATTAACAGTAGATTGGTGCACAGCTGCATTACAATAAGAAAACGCCTGACTGAGGTATTCATGCATGTCCCTGGTCCCTGTAGATACAATGACTCACAAAACTAAATATTTATTTCATTGCTAAATAGCCACAGCAGTAAAAAGTCAAACAGGATTGATAGTAAAAGACATACCCATTTGAAACAAAACAATATGATACAGATTAAAAACCAGCCTTAGCTGCAAAGAACTTTTCTAAGTTGTAAAAGTGTTTATCTGCTAGAAATGATTTCAATTGATTATTGAAACTACTTATTGTTGGGGCTTTTTGTTAATTTTCTTTTAAATTATTAAAAATTTAACAACCCATGCAACTAAAAGATTTCTGATATGCTGCAGTACAATGTTGGGGGTATCAGCAAACCTTTTTATCAAGTGTGATAATTCTTCCCTCTTTGTTATTGAAGAGGTTTAATTTATTCTTATAAACACAGATTGATGATTCGTGAATATTTATACAGACTTTTGTTAAAATTCTTAATGATCAAAAATAGTCCTTGCAGAATTCACCAAACTAGCCTAAAGCAAAAAAGTTAGGAATGATTTTGGTTTGTACCACAGGGAAATTCGATTTTTTTGTGGAAAAACTAAAATTAGTATTTTGATTTCCAGGATCTGTATCTGTTGAAGTCAGCACATTTGAATTAGCTAGCAATATCCTCAAACGCATCACAGTTACTTCAGTGCCCCTTCAAACACAAGTTAGTTGCACCACGTTAAGTAACTCTGAAGACCGACTACTAATCTGCTGCATAGATGGCTCTCTTGCATTACTAGATCGCAACAGAGGGTCTACAAGAACAATCAAAGCAGCATTCATCCCAACGTTTGCAGTTTGGCACCCCTCAGGTGCCATTATGGCTATTGCAAACGAAAGAGGTCAGCTGCAGTATTACGACACGGCGTTGAATTGTGTAAAGTCTCAGTTTGCGGGAGAAGATAACACTCCCACAGCATCAGTAGATCTGTCTAGTTACTTCAACTTACAGTTTAGTGTGGCTGGTATCAGTTGGGGCCCAAAAGATTTGGTCATTGCTTTTGAGCAAGGGCCTGTAGCTGTGCTAACACATGTGGAAGGTTCTATGGTATTTAAAGGGCTGATTCACAGGTAACTATAAAGACAGATCTACTTGTCAATCTAGTTTGCAATATCCTTTTTATATTATTCGATCTGAAAGATCCTCGCGCCATCTATGAGACAGTAGCAGAACACAAAAATTAATTTGACACAGTTGAAATGTTTGGTTCAGCTACTGATTCATGGATGACGTTAGGATCTTCAATCTCAGTTTGGCGCATCTCTAATGCTTATATCTTCAGATCGAGTGCATTTATCACTGGTTTTAGGTATTTGCAAACTAATAATGTGGATAAAGCCATCAAACTGCTCCTAAGCTGGGAATTCAACCAAGATGCTTATGCTGCACTCCAAAAAATAGTGGCCTATCTGATGAGAAAGCCCTTAACTGATGATGTTGCTCAGCATTTACAAATTGCGTTGGGCAGTTACCATAATAGTCCAATACCTTTGAGTTCGCAGATAAGGCACAGGTTTGGACATAGGGTAAGTTGAGGATATAATTATTATATTATTTTTAACACATGTAAATAATATTTCAGGTTGCATCTTTAACGAGGAGATTCTTCCACACATTGGTACGAGCGGAAATGTTTGAAACTGCCTTTCTCTTGGCCGTGGATATGGCACACCATGATCTTTTCATGGATATGTATTACATTGCTGTCAAGATAGGCGAAACTGAAATGGCTGCAGCTGCGCGAGCTCAAGCTTCTGCATTACTCAGTAGATGCTCCAGTGAAGGTGAGATGTATGCTTTTTATTTAGTAATTCAATGGCGCATTTACGTGGGAGCTTTGGGGCCATTTGTTATTATTTTTTTGGTGGATCTTCTATAGTCTGTTGCCACATAGACGCGTTTTGAATGGCATGTCTGTTCTTTGGTAACTAAAAAACTCGGCATTATATATCTTCATCAAATGAACAGTAGCATGATCGGCGCCTAATTAGAGCGTCTATTTAAAAATCAGATTATTGACTTTTTACTTCCAACAGTGGTGGGTAGGAAAAATTGTGATCGAAAAAAAATTTGGAAAATGAGATGTTTTTTGATGTTATCGAGAAAAAACACGTCACTTTTTGCCGCTCTGTCTGTCCGCTAATCCGTGGCCCGTCTATAACTTGGAATGTACTGCTCGGATTTTAATAAAATTTGCTTTGTAGTTTTTGAAAATCCGATCAGCGACGGCACAGCTAAGGTCAAAAAACAAAAAAAAAATAAAATCGCTCTAACTTTTTTAAATCGGTCAATCATAAATTGTTGATACTGTTGATACAGTTAGAGAAGCGCGTATAAATTTCTAGACAGTCACAAATTATTTTCACAAGTGTTGATTTAGGTACTACTAACTTAATATCTTGTTTTTGTGTAATGTCGTAACTTATATTTAATGTTTAATAGTTATCTAAAAAAATAATAGCTGTTTCTAAAACGAACAATCCGTCAACAATTATTTTAAGATTTAGGAATAAAGGCCTGCACGTAGCTCTATGGTTGCTTTCAGAAATATATGTCTAATAGTTCGTTTTTGTGAAGCCACTTTTTCTAAACAATTTTAGATCAGACACACTATATCGCGTTCAACTTTCAAATACGACTAAGCAACTGCTTAAGTCTATTTGTCCTGATGTTTCTCTAACCAGCAAACAAATCGGCAATACCAACGAGTTGACTTTTGCTTTTTTCCAGCTTCAAACTGTTCCCGATCATCGTGCTCTCAGTGCTCGGAGACTTCGAGCAGTTCGAGCAACGTCTGCGAGGAAGAAGCAACCAATGAGGAGGATATGCCTCAACCAAGCAACAAAAACGACTACCTACCTCTACCTCTGAATCCCGACAACTGTCTTGCAACCGATTTCAACCAACCTGATCCCACTACATACAAACCAGATCGACCAGTGACGTCACAGAGTAGCGAATACCAAAGACCAGTGCCTAGAGCGACTTACGTGAAAGCCCCGCAAGTACCAAGTACTTTCACAAAGACGAGTACGAATTATAGGGCGGGGATCCCTTCGGCGACGCCTTATGTTCCGCCTTTGCCAAATGTGTCTAACAATACAGGGTTGCCTTATCCGAGTGTCTTCAGTCAAACGCAGAATCCTTACTTGAGTGGTACCTCGTTCAATGGAAATATGTATCCAGTGTCAAGTAGTTATATACCAAATATTCCCAATTTGATGCAACATACAGGGGTTACTGCGTTTGGCAGTGTGAGAAGGTCTTTCCCACCATTAGTACCTGCTGTATCATCCCCCAACCTATCTGACCATGATTTTTTTAATTCGAATATCGCTCAAAATATTCAGTCCACCTCTAGCTTTAACTTAGCCTCGATTAGTGAATTTAATGCGTCGAGTATGAACAAAAAGCATCAAGCAAAAGTGAAATTCTCTGATACTGTGACTGCATTCATAGTACCTGAGGTAAAAAGACCGCAAAGACCACCGCCACCTCCCCATGTTGCCGAATCTCAGCGTGAGTTAGCAGATAGTTTGCCACTTTGTCATCCGAACGAAGATTATCTAAAGGATTTCACTCCAGTGAGGAAAGAAGAAAATAAAAGTACTGAAAATACTCAGCCGCCAAAAATAAAAGTGGTGCATTTTGGGGTAGTATAACGTGATTATTTATTATTATTTTTTGCTGTTGGATCTGCACATATGATATCATTGCAAAGACAAGCATTGTTGATTACTTTTGCAAGACAGCGTTACTTAATACATTTAACAGTACTGTATTGTTGTATTAAGGCAGCGGCATATCTGGAAAATATTGTTGAGGGTACATATGTTGAATTTAAAATTAGCCGCTCAAAAAAGTACTGGGAGACAGGAGCTCAAACATGTACGTTTCGGGGGGTATCGGCAATTGAAAATGAAATTACAGAGCAGGAGAGGTCGATTTGCAAATTGAAAAACATATTCGAAATTTGGGGTCCGGACCCACCCTAGATCCTCCTCTGTATTCAAGTATTCCGAGTCGATTATTCATGATAATAAAGGGTGTCCCGCGTAAAATTTTGACCTTTAAAATTCAATATAAAAAAATTACATTGTTTTCATTTCTTTTTATTTCAATAAAATGGAGCATAATAACGCGGATTTCATGTTTCAAAAATGATATCGTCCAAATGTTTTCTCAATGCACTCGGATGCTTATATTTGAAATTACGCGACGGTAAAACTCTGGATGTAATGATTTGAACTTTACGGCGAATATTGTCCTGCAGGGCCTCGGTTCTTCGGGGTTATTGTAAACCTTTGATTTGAGGTATCCCCATAAAAAGAAATCACAAGGAGCAAGGCGCTACGGAATGCTGATCACCTTATTCGGAAAAATTGTTCTTAACCTTTCCGCTAGCTGTATGCGGAGTCCTTCTTGTTGAAATAGCGTTCTATTGTAATCTGGATACAGCTGCAATTGCGGCAATAGAAATCTGTATATCACACGGAGTCTCTCTCCTTGGTTCAAAAATAAGTGCCGATTACCCTGCTGGCTGAAATGACACACTAAACTGTTGTTATTAAACAATGTTTTTGCTGGCATTCTCTATTGTTGTTGGGGCGCCAGTATCTAATATTTTGTTTATTAAAAAATATGTTTTCTATGGGTGCTATCTGAAAACGTTAAAGCATTGTTTTTGTGAAGTTTTCTCGCAAAAGTTAGTCACTTTCGTTGAGGCCCTCAACATTTTGTATGGGTGGAACTTTAATTTTCCTTCCAAAATAGCATGCACTATTATTTTTTGTATTCCAGTGGCCGCAATGTGCCTGATTTACGTCGATTTCCAGAAATTTCATTTGGAACTTGAGACGCATGTTCTGGCGTTTTTGCTGACGTCAATGGTCCCAGAAGAGTTCTGTTGACCACTATCCTTTTTTGTCTGAATCTTTTTACCCACCGCCAGAGAAATTGGGTGCTCGGTCCATCACTTAGTCGTCGAATATTGAAATGAGTACAAAAAGGATATCATGCGCGTGCCAATGATCCACCTCACTTAAGATATTGATCGACCTCGAATGCGCGGTGTGCCTCCGACCAATGACCCATGGCGACTAACAATTCCGCAAATCATGTGCTTCGATTGATACCCCTCCCTCCTACCTCACCCCGATAGCATTTCCAGATTTGCAATCCTCTTCGGCCCGAGGAAAAAAAATCGAAAATATATTTTAACTTTATATACAGTATTGAAAACAGCTTAAAGAAAGTAAAACTACCAATATTTATACAAAAAATCTTTATTTTTCCAAAAAAAAACGTTAGTCCAGCCTGCTGTACATGAGGTGTCAATTAATACATATTAACATTACAAAGTATTTAAAGTATTTGTTATGCCGGAAAAAGAAATATGATATGTGTAACCACACAAACATCAGCTTAAGAATTAAATTAAAAAAAGCACTGCCATTGGGGCTAAATGCATAAAAACACTTGGCATCTATGTAGAACATTGAAATCGAGTTTTTCCTTCGCAGTTTTTATTACATCTCATGAATTTATTTTTATCGTCCACGGCGCATATTGGCAAATGTTTATTTGATGGCCTCCTAACATCTATTGGAGAAATGGAGTGTGATGGCGTTGGTTTAGTTACTGGCACATATTTTGGAGGCTCAAAATCGACACCTATTTGGATGGTGATTGTCAAATCCATTATGTCGCGGTTAGGGACTCCTAGGGACTTCTGGTCTAATCGATACTCCAACCACGAGTTTACAATCGCCAAATCAATGCAGTTCACAATTGCCAAATGAATGCAGTGAAATATGAATCTAATTGTCCACTTTTTTGTTCTTTGTGACATTCTGTAATGAGAAATCATTCTGGCATTAGGATCAACCCCTCCCATTGTACTGTTGTATGCACTAATACAGTTTGGGCGCTGAATTATGTAATTTCCTGTTTTTCGATCCCAACGTTGAACATCTGTAATTGGCTGACTACCATCTGATGATGATAAAACTAAAATCGATCTATTATCTATCCATTTTATAATGACGAGTCGTCCATCCTGTCTTACAATTTCTTGGAAACGCCCTCTACCTTCTGTCATAAGGCCTTTGTCTGACCGAATATATTGTTTGGCTGTGTTTGGAATTCTATTAATAATAGTGCCTACTGCGTTAACTTTTTTCTCTTGTAGATAATCAAAAAGCTGACAGGAAGTGAAATATCTGTCCATAAAAATTGTACTTCCAGGGCTGATATTCCCGTTAACTTTTTAACAACGCTCCCCCCAATACCATGTTCTGGTTCAGGTTTTCCTGTCGGCCAAGTGGCAGCTGTAAACAGTAAAACCCAGTAGGTACCAATCCTTGAGGAGTAGCGAAACAAAGCCTACTGTATTTAGGTTTGTTTTTTACATACTGCCTCAGAACAGATTTTCCCGTGAATGGGATTTGTTCGTCAATACTTTTAGCTCTTTTGTATGAGACAGAGTAGTCCACTTTTTTTAAGGGCATCTATTATTGGTTGAATCTTCCACAATCTATTATTCTTCTTAGTTTCATCCGATACTTCATTGTTTACTTAGTGCATGTCATTTCGAAGCTTGAACAGCCTTTCGCGGGATAAAACGGTAGCTGCAGGAATTTTCAATAAATTTTTGTAATACATTCGGACTCTGGGTAGTTTGAAGCATCCCATAATGATACAAGAACCGATTAATTTTTTGTATTCTGTTGGTGTTGCACGAAGTGGCGGAAGACTATCTTACATCGTACGAGTATTGCTTTGTGCTGCCGTTAAGTTCCAAAACTCGTCATCTAAATATTGACGGAAGTACTGGTATGGTGACCATTTTCTTCTTTCCTGTACATGGTCCATTACTTCAATATTGTCTGGTTCAAAAGCCCTGTTTTTCCACTTCATTTTTTTCTTTCCATGTTAGTTTTATTTTGGAAAATTTCCTAATAACTGCTAACGGAATGTTGTCGTCATCTGAATCCGAATTCTCACTAATGACGTTATTATTATCAACGGTCCGGTTGTCAAAGACCACAGTACTCTGATCAAAATATACCAAATTCTAGAGAATCCAATAATTCATCTTCAGAATCGGTTTCAAGGTGTCCGTTATGTGCTAGAAAACCTTCGTTCTCATCTTCGCTACTAAAGTCTCCTTCGCTGTGATCCCAAATATTCTCTAACTAGTCATCTGTCAATGCTGCATGTTCAGCTTATTTTCTAAAATGTAATCTAAAAAGTCTGTTAACCCTTAACCGGTCACGTGAATTTTTGGTGCATTACCGGTCAGGTGCAGTCTGTGGGACTGCTGTTTTTTGTTGCCAGATAAATGATTTGTTTTCAGATGTAGGAACTTGGTTTTGTAGAAGAAACACCCTTAGAATGTGTGGAATGTATATTTGGAAAAATAATCAGTAGATCCACAGCAAATAAAACATTATTCAAGAAATAATACAAACCAACTCAGGAAATTGAAAAATATGCACTTTTTCAAAGTAACGTAAAATTAAACTCACAAAAGACAGAAACCAGATTTTTTACAGCAATCGTGAGAAAAGATAGCAAATAATACATTTCTGCAACTATATCGAATTCAAATATAAAAACAAAAGTCTGAGCAGGCCTCAAATGTCGGCACTGTTTACGCAATTATTGCACTTAGGCTTGGAGCACTGTAGACAAACTGGTAACTTACACTGCACACATAGGTACTTGGTCATCCTGTGTGTTGTTTTATGACACAAAGAACATGCCCTGCGTTTCTGTAAGACCATCTCTTCAGTTTCCACATTCACATGCTCCTCAGGCTTACCAAGTGTGCGCGATATCATGTAGCGCAGTTCACGGGGTTAGCAGACTTTTCCCGAATGATTTCATTATCTCTGTAGCACTGATGCAAAATGTACGAATTAACCACAGATATATCCAGAATGCGGAAAAAAATTACTAACGGCCATCTCTTTGAACACTTTTCGTCCAAAAAGTCGACCCCTCCTTTGTTATTATTGTAATACGTGATGATCTCCGGCTTTCTAGTTTCGGGATCAGTATACATTTTTTCGTGCCTTGCTTTTCTTTCCCGCGTAAGAAACCATCGTACTTTCTTCGCGAAACCCGTAAAGGGCAGATCCAACTTCTCTTGCATTGCGTGGCTGAAATTCAGGCGGAATCTCCCTCTTATTTTTTTTCATTGTCCCAACGTACGTAAGCCAGAACAGAAAATCCAAAAGTTTAATAGATGAAAACCAATTATCTGCTGTTATATTTCTATTTGTACCAAACAACGGCTGTACGAGCCGTATGACAGATTGCGTTGGCTTTGAAAATGTCTTATATTCTGGAGCAAGCCCTGTTCCGTCAGAATCTCTGCCACAGTATACATATGCATTATAAAGATAACTATTCGTAGCATCTGTAAGGGCCATAATTTTTATTCCGTATTTGCATGGTTTCATTGGCATATACATGTTGAAACGAACCGCACCCCTGAAGCTTACCGACATTTCGTCGAATGTCGCTGATTGTCCCATTCCATAGCGATTTTGACAATTCTTTATGAATGCGTTGAAGATTTGGGAAATAGGGGCCAAGGGATCTTGTTTTTTCTCTCTTCTCTGTCGAATGGATTATCAAATCTCAGTGCCACGAGAAGTACATCAAAGCGTTTTGCACTCATCACAGCCCTAAATATATCGCGGCCTGTTCCGTCGGTGGCAAAAATGAGTTCTAGGTTCTCATGATTGGATTTGAAAACAGATGTAAAAATCAAAAGCCCCAAAAACGCCTTCAATTCAATCAAATCTATATCATTCAAATGACTTGTTTTTTCTTTGTATTCTTCTCTCATTTTGCCAATTTTGTCATTTGTCCAGGTTACGATTTGCAGCAACATTTCGTCAGTCACAAGCAATTTCCAAACAGACGATGGATTGCATTTGCTCCCAAGTGACTGCGTTTTTCTTTTTAGAACCGGTACCTTCGTGACGATATTACATTTCCTAGTTCGCGACGATGGCTTGACTTCGGATGCACACCATCTGTACCGATTCTTCCCATAGAAATATTTCTTCTCACATATTCCTTCTCTTCTTATAGTATTGCCTCGTGATGCGTCACTTGCCCGATTATCAGACTCTGAGTCGGATGATTCACTTTCAGACATTTCGCTATCAGTATCATGCTCCGATAAAATGTACTCATCTTCTGCAACATCTTCAACATCACTGTCTTCTTCGTCTACTTCACGAAACGTACAACCGACACAGTTTCTCAAGGGAATACAAATAAAATGTGACCAGTAGGCTGGACAGAAGGACCAAAGAGGTTAAGGTGGAAAAATCCCTTCATATCTACTTTCAAGTAGCTATTCATCCAGTTCATCTAACCTCTAGCCTGCTTAAAAATGATTTCCCAATTTGAATATTGCTGAAAGTATAAAGTAGGTTTATTCTATTCTTCTATCGAGCTAAATCTTCGTCCATTCGATTGGTCCCACCCATATATTTATTATACATTCCAACTGCATGTGGGCGTGGAACTTGTATGATTTTCTTTTCTGTTTGGGCGTATCTCTTGACATGGTGCATGGGATTCATAATATCGTTCTCCTTATCAATTTTTGCCGAAACCTACCGCATATGGTTCATTTGGTCGTGGCGATTTACCGTGATAGATATCAACATTTACAAGGTAGCTGTTTTTAGAGTTCAGGCACCACACTTTGTAACCAAATCGAATTGGCTTTCATCTAATGAACAGCTATGTCGACCACAGTATTTTATCATGGACTCATCATAGTTCATATCGTCGGGTTACTGCCAAAACCATATAACTTACATTTTTATAGTTTTTAGATATTGGGGTTTTAAACTTTGGTTTTAGATTAAAAATCACACAATAGAATTAAAAACTATTTTTTTCACAAACTAAATTTTAATGGAATTATGAACAAAACAGCAAAAAATAATCATCACATTTGAAGAAATGACTACTTATTAACAAAAAACGCAATTTTTCTTGCACTTATCTTTTTTTAGCCATTTAATTCTTCCGACTCCGGTTCTTCTTCGGGATCAGAATCCTCCGCTGCTGGTCTTGGAACAAGATTCTTTGCTTCTTTGGAGGTCGGTAGCGATTTATAGTAATAATGATATTCTTCAGGAATAACATTATTTTTGCAAAGTTTGAGCAAATCTTGCTTTTTCTTTGTTGATATTGGTCTGTATTTTTATATGCATTCGTTATTTCAGTTTGGTTTGGCTGTATAGGTCGACCTTTACCCAAAACGTTTATTTCCATATAATCGGATGTATGATCGTACCTATACTGTAATATCCAAGGCTTGGATTTAGTGTACTTTAAGCCAATAAACTTTTTCGTCCTTGGTGTTCTTCAATTTGTTTTTCATTAGACTTTTCTATAAATTTTCTAAATTTAAAAAATCATTATGTTTTAACTCTTTTAGCAGCATAACAATCTTCTTTTCTTGCTTTATGAGCCTCATAATCAATTTCTAGCTATTTTCTTTTTTCCATATTGTCGCTGGTTTTGTACTGCATACAGATTAGACATTGGTCCTTCTTTGGTTTATAAAATGCGTAATTATAGTTTGTACAAAATACTCTTCTGTACGTGATCAATAAGACTGGCTTCAAATCGTCTTTTTCGCGTAACTCTTTATAAAGTGAATGCATTCTAGCAATGCTTAATTTTGGGTCAAGATAAAGACGTTTAGTAGATTTTCTACTATAATGGGATTCCATTACTGGAAAACTTTCTATGTGCTTTTTTACTATTTCTAGGTCTTCTGCCTTCGTTTTATTACTAGGTTCGTGCTTTCCCCTTTTATCATTAGCAACAAATAATCATTCTTCTCCTTTGTGTAGAAACGCGTGTTTCACTACTTCTTTACCTATACATAGGTTCTGTTAAAGAATTTTTTACAGACACGTATTCTTGTATCACCTGAAAAAAGGTAGCTTTTGGAATCTGATCTGGCTCTTTTGTTGCTGGTGCGTATTACTTTTTTTCTGACGGGAACATTACTTTCAACATTACTTAAAATAAAGTCTTTTCTGCGAATAAAATCGCATTTCCAATAGTTTTTGCAAACTTTAAAACGTTGTTCAGTGGTTATATTTTCCGAGTACTTAAACCGCCATTTTGTGCGATCGACGGGTTTAGGAGCCTTCCCCTCAATTCTTTGACGTTTAACTAGATTTTTTTCCACTGATTTTGATTAGACTTTTTCCATCGACTTGTTCTTGTAACAGCAGATGTCATTTCAATATCATTGTTATTCATTGGTGGATCGTCTGCAACAAAAAAGTACTGTAATATTACTCTTTGTGACTGAATATTGAACTTACCCTGGTCTGAGTCGTACTCTGAAGCTGAAGATTCCGGAACATAGTCCTTATCCTTTATGGAACAGTCGGAATCTCCAAACATATTGTCCAATTCCGCAAGAATCTGTTCTTGTTCTGATTTCAGAGTCGACGACAAATCATTATTTTTATCATTTTTTTCACCAGATAGGTCCGCTACTTAATTTGGATGATTTTCTCCCACTTCAGCGCAGTCTGCTTCTGGTAAATTTAAATTTTCCCCACTTTCGCCTAATACAGCAACAAAAACAGAAAAACAATATGGGTGCAATGTTCTTATGTGAAATATCTCTCACGTCTTTTGTACTTCTAGGATCACAAGCAAAATGAATAATCGGTAATATTATTCCTCAACTCAACATTTAGAAATATCTAACATTATGCCGAGTATTGTTTTGCGTTGAAACTAAGCTACTCGGTGCTCAATGACCCGACAAAAATACAGCGTGCAAATTACATAGTTAAAACTCCACCAAAATTGAGTAAAACCTTACCTGCAGCTGGTTCTTTACCAGTGGCCATGATAACAAGATACATGCCACGAGACAACATGCTTTCGAAATATGTCTTTCACTATAACTCGTTATAAACTACTTAGAAATGCCGGAATACTACACTGCGTATTACCATGTGTATAAGCAGTTTTCAGGTTATGTTTGCTATGATATACTGCCAAAACAAGACAAGTGCGTGTTTAATACAACTATCACACAGACAGATAACATATTGTGTACAAGCAAAACAAGATAACTACCACATATCTGAAAAAATCCTTGATTTGGATTCACACTGGTACAGCAAAAACCCGAAGTGGTACTTATCTCATTCTGACTCTAAAATCCTTATATAAGCACTGAAACAAAACTGTCAAAATCAGAAAGTGGCTAATGACTTATTTTCGCTGTAAAGAAACTAGCAATTCTGTACTGTAATTCGAACGTCGTTAATCGCAAGTGCACATGTCTTGTAGCTGTACTTAAGGGTCTCATATTGAATTTAGTCGTTTTTTTGACACATGCCAACAACACTCTTCCATACAATATGAGGAGGAGAAGATATCTGGTTTTGTCACAACATAAATTGTACCATTTTAGTTACAAAACTGCACATAACTCAAAAAATATAAAAATGTACTTATCTTGTATTGGTAGTCAGCCGACGAGATGTTCTGTTGACCTGTAATATTTTAAAAAGGATTCCTGTAACCTAGTGATAATCGGACGTAGCTTCCATATTTTATCCTGCGGGTTCATTTTGGTATTATCAGCACAGTTCACAAAATGCATTATTTGAATGAATCTCAATAAAAAAAAATCCTGGAAGAATATTGGAACCAGAAACGATAAGTATGACCAGAAAACATCTAAGTTCTTCCATAATAACGTGTGGATCTGGATAGTTCGCAAATAGGCCGTACGTTTTTGTTTCTTCGATAATACCTTCGTCAAAGAATAATTCGAACAACCGGCTGAACTCATATCACGAAATTCAGGAAAATATGACGATTTTGTCATATATCTATCTCCATGTCCTCTAGCTATATTTTCTTCCCTTTAGCGTTCAGCAACTCTTCATGAATTTCGAAGCCTAACTCTGGTGGTGGCTGCAAGTCGTCAACAACGTATTCTTCTTCCAGATCTGTCCCAGTCGGTTGTTCAACTCCACGGACCTCGATCTCAGCATCCTGAAAGATTATCAATAAGTCCACCATCATCTTCGTCGAAACCGGGTGAGCGCAGGGACGCTTTTTGTTCGTCAAAGTACAGTACTACGTTTTGGAAGCATTGAACTGTACAAGATTGTTGCGTCCCCAAGCAGTGATAGTCTCCAGGTCTCTTGTCAGAGAGGAAGTCATCGCAAGTCTTCTTTTTTCCAACTCAGCGGCAGAGATCGGCTTGTCACTCTGAATTCCTGCATGTAGAGTGCTGTCATCAGCGAAGCTGTGGATTGGGTTGATCGTGCAAGAAAGGAGGTCGTTGATTAGTAAGAGAAACAGTGTCGGAGCCAAGACCGATCCCTGGGGAACACCCGCGTTGACGTTGTGGGATGAAGAGGAGAACCCGTCAATTACGACGGATATCTTGCGGCCAGAGATAAAGTCAGCCACCCATCTGCAAAGCTTTTCTGGGAGGCCATAGGATGGAAGTTTGCTTAAGAGGACAGCGTGCCACAGCTGATCGAACGCTTTAGTGATGGTCAAGAGCAACGACATGAGCCTCACCATAAGACTGGATGAGCTTACTCCACAATTGAGTGACGTAGCTAGGAGGTCCCCTGTGGATCGTTGGTGCCGGAAACCATACTGCCTGTCGCTAATCAAGCCGTGACGTTCGAGGTAGTCCAGAAGCTTGCGATTTATGCACCTCTCCATCTCCTTACTTAAAACCGAAAGCAGAGCTATAGGCCTGTAGTTGTAAGGGTCGGCCTTAAATCCCTTTTTTGGGATGGGTTGGACATGAGCAAATTTCCAGTTTTCTGGGAAGGTGCCAGATTCATAAGATATCTGGAAGAGACGCGAAAGAACTGGAGCAAGCTCCGGTGCACACCTCTTCAGTACAATGGCAGGAATCAAGTCCGGACCAGAAGCTTTGTTGATGTCGAGCGACAAGAACACTCGTCTGTGCCTAACTTTAATATCGTGCTGGTTTTTGGCATTGCGAATCGCTGCTTTATATTTGTTTCTGGACTCAACGTCGGCTTGTCTTTTGTCTACAGAACTCCCGTGCAATGGCAAAAGATAGTAACTTGTTTTTGTGACTTTTACAGAAATCAATGAAGAACATTTCTACTCAAGCCGATAAGTAGACTTAAGTCACTAATAGTAGAAAAAGCCTTTTGGACAAGGACAAAAATTTGCCCTTTCCATCCATTGAAACAATTCTTGTTTAAAAACTGTCTTCATAAAGTTAAATTAGATACTTTGTTTGGAAATTTTATTGTCATAGAATACAACAAGTAAATACTACAGTAAATAAAGTTACTTGTTTTTCACATTGGAATTCAAGATCCTTGTCGATTCTATACAGTTTTAAGGGGCTGCGAATTAGTATTCTTGAAAATCCAGGATGCTGTTGCTTTTATGCAGATTCTCCCGATCGACATAAAAGATCAGGAACATCATCATTTGTTGGTAATTGTCTCCAAAATAGTTGTTTTCTGGATTCCATCGCAGGACATAGTTCTTCAACTATTTTTTGTTTTTTTGCTGTGTTGATCCCTCTATCATTACTATAAGCTACAGGCTGCTGATTTATATCAAACTTACTCTTTAAAAAGTTCGCCTCAGCGTATTCAGTCTCATCAAACGATGTTTTGTAGAATAGAGACCTGGAACCTTTTCTGAACTCAGCAATCTTGATTTGGTCTAACAGCGGAATATTTACTTCCCCAGATATATTTTTACGGCGTTGTTTGGAGCCATCACTGTGACGCATAACTATTGGTTTATTTTTCTTAGACGATGCATTTATCACATCAACAAAATCATTAACGTCCAATATTTGCTTACGCTTTCTCCACTCGCGTCCTATTTGTCCATGTACTGAATCAGCCTTCATAAAAGAATGTCCTGGCTCAAAGTACTTCACAATGATGTTTTCCGGTCCCCAATCTGCATTCACCAAACAGGCAAACATTGTATACAACGTCCAGTTCTTATTTTGGGCGGAGCAGTTATCCATCCAAAAGATAAAAGACATAACGTTTGGGTTAGAATTTTTAATGACATGATAGAACGTTGAGGCAATATCTGGAGCATTGCGTCCTCTAGTAGCTTCATGCCAGACATAACACTTATTATCATCTTTGTGCAAGGGAGCGAATGTCTCGTTGACAGTCACTAGCCTTGGTATGAAAAATGACTCTTTAGTAGTCATCTTGGGAAGGAGCAGAACTTTCTGTAGATCTACAGTATAAATTTCAATTCCTCTTTGCCAGTCACGGTCTTTATCTTCCTTGTAAGCACGCCTAGTTGAAGTGTAGTGTGTCTTATGCACATTATGCTTGATACAAGTTTCACATGCGGCAGGATTATGACTAAGATCAACAGCTGTTTCTCCATTATGAATTGAGTACTTACTACAAACTCCACAATCATCCTGAGAGGGATGATCGAAGCCAATATTGAGCTTATCAACAACTTGTCTATACTTCTCGTATGATATTTTTTGTCTGCGCGTGCAAAAATCTCTCCACATAAGCGAAATATTTATCTCAGGTGAAAGATATCGTCGTAAGGGAGCATGGTCTAATTTATAATGAGAAACATATGGATGGAAAGAGTTTACATGGTTCTCGATTACGGTATCTGTCATAGCCTTTTGAATTTGCGCAGATCTTCTAGCTGATTCTCCTCTTCTATCTTTGATTTCTACATTGCTGTCTATTCTCCTTCTAGCTTTAAGATGTTGAATGATGATGGAATCATTTCTTTGTCCTAAAGTATGAAGAAACATTGTTTTGCAGACTCTGAGTTCTGATCGAGAATCTTCTCCATATTGAGGTAGGTAGTACTTTAACGTGGAGGTTCTTTTAGAAAAGTTTCCCTGTGTAGTTCTAGTTTTGACGTTTTCTTCTTTAACATATGCTGTCAAATACAACCTTCGTTGAGAAAAATTCAGTTTCCAGAAGCTCTCTAATATTTTTTGCCTTGAATATTCATCAATTTTTGTACTGCAATGCTTGCGACAAGATTCCAAGCAAGGAGGAAGCAGCTTATGTGATTCGAGGTTCCTTCTCACTTTCTCTTTCTCTTTGCGAAGTCTTTTCATCTTTTTATTCGGATTTTCAACAATTTCAAAAACTGATTGTAATGCTGCCTCAAGCATATCACGTAAATACAACTCAGTAGCATCTTCATTGTTATTTGCGACCAGAGAGGAGACTTCTGGAAGGTCACCCAAATGACTAACAACAGGTTTATCGTTCAAGCTACTCGTAGATGGATTAGTTGGTGTTGTCTCGTTATGGACTTTCGAAATATCAAGGAGCAAGTCCTCTGGACCAAAATAAGATTTAATTTTCTTAGGGTGTTCCAGAGCTGGGTCGAAGTCTGGATCAAGATCAGAATCATCTACTTCTGAGTCGGAATCGACTTCTTCAGGTAGCGACCTGAAAAATATACTTTTGTCCATTTTAGGCTATTCGCAAAAATTTCTTGGTCATAGTTAAACTACGCTCCAATCAAACCATTACAACTCGTGCATTTTCATGTTTACCTCTCTAAATGTTAGTGAAACTAGGATGAAACAGAATGAAATAACAAATACCTAGTTGGTTTATACTTAAGCTTCCAATAGTTTTTTTTAATCTTTGGGTATGCAATGAATTACAGCAGGTTTCTTCTCAACTCGAAATACGATTGATCAGTTATTACTTTTTCTATTCTGATATTACAAGTCTGACAACGTTGCAATAGCTATGGGATCGGCAAAGCAGCCGTTGGGAATTATGAAATGGGAGTGAGGTTACGCTATATTTTTAGCATATTCACGGATTTTCAGGGCCATCTGTACCAAACGCTTTCCTCGTGTGTTCATGATTTTGGAACTTATACAATGCGTTTTTAACTGATTCACTCACAAATGATATATCTGTTGGTTAGCAAAACTAACTCCTACTAATGTTGCCAAATTTGTGCTGCATTTACCATATTGAAATAGGGCAACTAGAGATACGTAGCAGTATATGACAAATAACAGAACATTTTGCTATTCCAAAACACAGCAACTGCAGATACGTTGCTTTCTTTTAGCATTCAGCGCATGACTGTGTAAAATAACCGAACAGCTACCAGCAACTTCAAATACAGTTTTTTGATTTAGTAATTCCAGCAAAACTGTGGGAGATACGATTCCTCCTATGCCTGTATCTATGATTCTAATTGGCCTATAATAAAGTTATTTGTAGTAGCAAATAGCTCGGAAGGTGACCAATCCATCTGGCGCTACAAAGCCAAAACCTAGTAACTTGAGTTACTGCGTTTTGCCATTGCAGGGGAGAGAAGGTTACGTGTGCCTGCAAGCCTTTAAGGAATCTCTGGCCTGCGAGTACCAATTGGCGATAGCTTGCCAACTAGGTTGCTGGTAAACTCAGTGCCCTCGGGCTTGTCTACGCGGATGTTAGGTATTGGCTCTTCATCTCTCGAAGCTAATGCCATTACCATATCGCCTGCTATTCCTAAAGAGGGTACTTCCTCGAAAAGGTTATGCGTGGCGACGGTGACACTAGATGAGTGATATCCACCAAATCCCTGAACAACGTGGACGGGCAAAGGAGGAATCTCAAGTTGAGTTTCTTTTCCCATGCTGTCGGTGTAATTGCCAATGTTACTAAGGTAAATAAACAGCGGCTGTGGGATGTTAAAAATAACATCTTTCACCGCTTTGTTGAATTCTTTCTCCTCGGTAGACAATTGACTGCTTTTGTTTTTAGCTTTGACGTCAAGCAGTCTAGACCATAGATAGAATGTGCTAAGGTAACTTAGCTCTTCTTTAGTTATCATGCGCTCTAGTTGCTTCTCATCGGCTAAATACGTTGAATATAGCTCGGATGACACGTCTACAACCTTGCGAAGTTCGCGCTAAAACGTTGTTCTGGCTCTTTCGGCATCAGGGACATTTCTGGCCCAAATATTGCGTTGGAAGCAAGATCATCGTTCATCTGCGGCGTTGCTTTCTTCTGCGGGTTGGTTGGTGCTGGTAAGTCTGGCTTCGATGGCCCCTTACTCTTATCTTGAGCATTATTCATTGATTTGTCGCTGCCCTTGGATGCATTTGGGTTCCCCTTACTCTTAATCTTATTGATATCAAAGTTTTAAGGTTTACCCCTGTATCCGGGTGCGATCTTGCGAATTTCGTCTGCGGTATATAGCTTTTCCATCTTGACGGTTCGCTGAAACTATTTATCCCTATCAGGATCCAGGTTTCAAACTGCGTATATGCGTCCGGTTCAAGTAAGCACCGTAAAAAGTACAGGGATTTGTCTAAAATGTCATTTGAAATTACGTCTGCCAATGTGACCAAATGCTCACACCAGGTTTTGATAGTTAATAATAAATGTATGGAGGGAAGATGTAGTTCTCAGATAAAACAACTGCATTTGTAGTCTCTCAGGAGACAAAGCCTTCAGCAACCAAGTAATTAAATGACAGCCACGTGGCTACTTTTTATTGGAATACTCACTTGGATGATTAACAGTGTTATTCTCTTATAATTACAATGATATTCATAGGCTATATTTTTTTCGTGTTTTGTTATGACAATTCACACACATTGTTTGCGTTGATCCATTATTCGTACCATATTCCACTCAAAAGTAACAGTATCTATAAATATAGACAACAATTTTCTGTGTTGATCACATTTTGCCAATTTTTCCGTTAGTCGATGTATAAGAGGTTCAATATCCACTCATAATTGTAGTTGAGAATATATTTATAAGAAGTTTTATATTTACCTCATTTTTATGAAATTGTATAGTTATATTTTTCTAATAACTTTATATTGATAGACATTTATTTGCTGGACTAAAGTATTATAGTGACTAAGGTATAAAATGTTATGATTGACTTCTAAAGCATCACATATTGATTTCACATTATTCATTCTATTCAATCACACATCATTCCTTTCGAAAATTATATTGGTGTTTTCAACCCGTTTGATGTCTGCACCTTTTTTTTAAGATTTGTGGAACAGCTTAAATGTCAAGATGGTACAGCTTAGTTCAGATGATGCGCGTCTGACGCACGTCCCCTCCTGAAAATCTGGTTGGACCTTAAAATTTGCGTATTTAGCGTGCTCTTTTGTGTACAATTTTGGGGATTTTTAGGGTTTGACCCCCACCTGAGGAAGATTTTTACTCTGATATTGGCCGGGGGCGATTTTTGGGTCCATTTAAGAAGAAAACTTAATATCAACATGTGTCCTAAATGTCCTAACTTCTGAGACACAGGGTGGCCAAGTTTTAAGAAATAAATCTTTTATTTTTTATATATCTGTAAATATCGCTTTAGATATTTTGATGAAATTTGGCATACGTATCAAGAGGCATTGTCATTTTTTTAAATTTCCTCTGGTGGCGTTAGTAGATTTCCCTTAAAAAAAAATATATATATATATATATATATATATATATATATAATATATATATATATATATATATATATATATATATTTAAATCCGCTGTGATTTCTGAGCAAATTTAATGACATGATTTTTTTCAATCCGACGCACGATTTTCGGTCAAAAAAAAATAAAAACCGTATCTCGGCAGAGAAACAGCTTTTATTTTTTAAGTGAAAACCGTGCGTCGGCTAAAAAAATTCGTAAGGATCATATCTGCTCATAAAGCAGTACATCTTTTTTTATTTTAAGAAGAGTTATTAACGTCCCACTGTGTTTCTATATTGAAAACTTTACCACCCTGCTGGGGCCTGGGTAGCCGAGTTGTTAACGCGTCGACCTACTAATCGGTCGACTGGAGGCTCGCAGGTGTGAATCTTCGGCTTGGTTCGGTTGAAATTTGTCAAAGGTGGACTAGTCGCCAGACTGCGTCTCCCCACCACTACTACTTACCACACAGTCTTTCAAAAGTAGAGACGTTTAGGAAATACGTTCATTTAATTTTTGGTTTTAAATCGACCCAAAATGTTCCACCTTAAATATTGACATTCAATTAGGAGACCCTATAGAATGGGACCAGGTAATCAAGCGTCAGTTTTTTGTGTTTGAATATAATTTGTAACGAATCTCCCATATTGCAGTGTTCTTTTCGGTATCATCAGAAAATAATGTTTTGAAATATTCGGTTTCTCATTACAATATTATACGGTAGAAAGTAATTTTTCGGTAGACACAGCTATTGAATGCAACGAAAGACGATGGCCAACTGAACAGGCAATAAGGACGTCTAGGTGACCGACGCGCGTATTGAGATACATGCGTACGTTTTCTGACCTGCATTTCCTTATGCACAGCTAGTCTTAATTCTGTGTATTTTCAAAACGAGCGTCAGGCAAACGCGCGTACATCTGAACCTAATCTTAATCATGTACTCGCACTGTTTTAAATCCTTCCATTATCCCTATATGTATATTAAAAATAATAGTTGAAACTCGTTTTGTTCACCGTGATTTCTAAAATGTTATGTACAAGTTGACTGCAATATATTTAGCATTGGTGATATATTGATTCCGTCCTGTTAATGAATTTTAAATAAAGATATACACATTTAATTCACTGTTTTTCAGCCTTCTCAAAATGCAATATTTCTGTATGTAGATGTAATACAGTAGTATCTACTGAAGTTATTCTGTATTCTGTATAGGGGCAATCAACCAAGATTACAGCACTTAGACCGCATTGGGCTCCTTATACGTCGTCTCCAGGGGTCGTTCAGGACTGGATCGCCAGACTCGGTCTACATCCAGCATCGGAAATGGAAGGACATCTGAAGAAGCTTGCCACTCGTGCTAGCGAAACGGTAGGAAGAAATTCCAACCGACGACGGCCTTTAGACCCGAATCAAGACAGCAGTTTATCAACTGGCTGCGAAAGCCTTAACCAAAATGGATCCTCAGACTATTGAAAAATGCGACCCAGCCGAGTTTCTTTACGTTGGTCATAGAAGGACAAGTTGCCCCAGAAAAGGTTCTCGGATTGATAGAACAGCTGAACAGTCGCAAAGCAAGTGTTTGCCGGTCTCATTTTCCTGTTCACATAGTCAACATAGGGATGTCACTCAGTATCTTATAGGAATGCTTCCTTAGCTGACAGTGTCCAGACATTTAGTTCTTTTCTACTTCCTCACTAGGATATCTGGGAGAGAATTCCTTAGCCCACATGTTCCTGGAGATTTTGTAGGTAAAAAACTTATTTTTAATTAATGTTTTAAGTTCACCGAATCCCATGAATTTAAAACATGAACAGCCAGTTCTATAAACAAGACTTTGTCACAACTATATTTTTCCTCTCCACACTAATTAGATATCTACTTTGAAAAGGTTAGTGTTTTACAGATATATTCGGCTACAGCGCCATCTATGAAGGACTAACCTTTTGAAATTAGATATTTAATGATAAGGAAAATGAAGGAAAGGAAAAACATAGGGGTTACAAATTCTCATCGATGAGGCTATGGTATCTAATTGCATCTCGGATAACTTTTTGGATGCGGGAGTATAGTATTAAGATGGTTATCTTCAGGTAATATACGTTAATCAATGGGCATTCATATGTCCAAAGACTGTAAACATTTTTGGTGCAAAAAACGTCGATTTTCCCAGTTTAAATCCAACTAGACCATAATACATCCAAAAAAACATGTTACCAGTTCTTGGATTGACAAATTTTGATGACGTTGGAATTCTTATCTTACGCGATACCCGATTATTTAAATCTTTTCTTCAAAATTAACAATATAAATTTAAAAATTGACAAAATGGACAATATCAAATATTTAGGTGGGCATTCATGCAGCCCTACATTTCGAAGAAGTTAAGATTTATTACATACAAAATTATATTCCTCACAGCCATATTGACAGAATGTTACATGCGTTATATACTGTGAGATTTAAATTTTGCTGACATCCTAATGTGTACGAGACGGCGCGATAAGCTTGCGGTATTTATGTTAGAAAGAGATAGAAGCACCTCGTTGCCTAACATACTGAGTACGAGGTCAAGGAGGCCATCGGCGCACTCTTTCTAACATACATATCGCACGCTTCTCTCTGGAATGCATTACGACGGGTATTTAGTGTTCGGTGTACATCATACCTTAATTGAGCCGCACCTAATGTATGGCAAACTGTTTTAAAGACTATGTTCGGAAAACTAAAATTATATTGAACAAATGATTAATACAACGAAACAAAATTATTTGATATCAGGCAACTTTATTTCTTACATATTAGCAGCCATTATCAGAAAGTTGTCAGTGAGCGCGATAAAATCATACATTGCCATGATACTCGATATAAATAACGTGGAAAAACTGCCCCTAAACCTCATAAGACAATACTGGGGTGATATTTTCTCTGTTTGGCTCCAAAATTATGTGAACACGTACCCAGAGACTTGAATCAATTTCGAAGAACACATGATTTTAAAAATAAATTTTCAAAATGGATACGTTCAACAGGAGACCGACATATTGAGCTTCTATCAAATATTGATATTTATTTGGGTTGCTATAAAAATATGTACATACTCAACCAAAATCATTAGCATTCAAATATTGTAGCCAAATACAGTGTTTTGCATTCGACGAAATATAAAGCTGATAGTACGAAAATATTAAAATACCATAACTCATAGAGTGACATATTTTTATATTACAAATTCAAAAGCATTGCTAAAATATTTTAATGAATGGAAATTGATTTTAATTGATCTAATGACAAGAGAGATCCAGACACTTCCATTGGACTATAAAATATGAAAAATCCACACTATAAACTCCATAATTTATAATTAACAATTAGTATTATTTTATAATGATCGTAAAGCTTTGTGTTGGAAATTGCGTCACCGAAATTGGATATTTGATGGAAAATATTCCAAATATTGATGTTATTTTCTACTGCTTTTATGCAAAACTATACTGACATTAGAAGTGTTACACCCAGAGAAACGATAACGTTCTCATGAAATTGTATTGACAAGTGATAAGAAAATAAATTAATAATAAGTTGGGCGATCCCGCTGCTAAATACACTCCTGTATACGTCCTGGCATCGACAAAATGAGATGGTCGCTGTCTGGTTGTGGCACCTCATACCAAACAACTCTAACTTCGTGGATTAGTTGTGGCAGAGTCTGTGGAGGATAGTGTAAAGTGGATAGTATCATCCCCATCATATGCCACAGATGTTCAATGGGATTTATATCCAGTGAACGGGATGGCCTCGGCAAAACATTAACGCTTGCTTCTTGAAGAGTGATAGAACAAACCAATATCTCGATAGGCAATAATTCTACCCCTGTCAAAGACGCTAACATAATTTGGACGTCTTTGACCTCGAGGCATTTTGTTATGCTTGACACTAGTAAATGGAAGGACAATAACTATAAATATCTGTACTACTCAGCTCTCAGAAACTGCTTTCTTCACAAAAACTAAGAGATAACATTTTAACAAAAACAAGGATAAAACGCTGCCAC